TATATATATATTTTATATTTTAGTGAAACAGGTATTTTCTTTTTTTTATACTCAATTTGATTTGTATTAACTATATCTATACGTTGCTCATATAAATAAGCTTTTGAACGACTTTTGTAACTTTGTCATAATCATACGTGTGGTCATAATTTGATTAAACTGTATAGGCTATAAGGTAACAACGTAACGTTATTATTATTATTATTGTTCGATGGCTGTAATACAACTATGGCGGGAAAATCGAAAACATACGGTTGCTCTCGAGGATCCTAACTTGAAAAAAAAAAATAATCAAAAAACAAAAGGAAGACATACAAAATTCATCAAAGCCCATTCGTGTTTTATGTGAAAACTGTAATCGAAAATGTAATGCACGCTTGTCGTGACGACCATTGAAATATCTAGCCAATTGTTTATTAGCCAATCATTATGTGCAAAATCATAATATAATGTATCTGTTTTCCATATGTAAAAAAAAGGACGAGTTTTAATGTGACTTAAATAGTTTGGGAGAAGAAGAAGAAAAAAAAAGAAATAAAAAAATGACATTGGCAAATTATTATTGTTACCTTCGATTTTGAAATAACTGTTTGCTTCCAAGCGATGAATATATCAACTGTTTTTCCTTTTTCGTATTCAAAATGCGCAGAGCTTTATATGATGTTTCTATTGATTGAAACTCTAATATATTATAATACATATGAATAATATTTATATGAAAAAAAGGGACGACGCATTGGACGAAAGTGTATGATTGAACAAAAAAGTGCTCGGTAACGAGAGAGGAGAAATACATATTTTATTGATTGCGCAAAGATTAGAAAAGAATTGATAGCGATGTAAAATTAGATTAGTAGTCAATTTGGTGATGCGAGTCGTGTATGTATTGTAAAGAAAGGGGTATATGTGAAATGTCTCAATTGGTGCCGCTTAAAGCCCCGCGAGTGCTGTTTGTAACGAATGATGCATGATTTTTGTCACAGGTTACGATTGAACCGCAGAAAAAAGGGAGAACAAGGACATAGCGCATATAGGATTTAATAGCAAAAAACATGTAGTCATTTTTTTTTAGATTGATAATTTTTTTTTTAACAACATGATATATTTTACTATTCCTTTCTTTCGACACGCGAGAGTTGTGCTTACGACATGTATTTCATTTTTGATGTACACGCCACTTGGGACGGATATATTTTAAGACATAATTATGGTGTGCGCAAAGATATAAATGAAGAATCTCGATAAAAAAAAAAAAAAAGACGTAAACTGTTGAGAGATTGTTGAAATACTGTCGTTCTGTCGCTGTATTGACTGTATCACACACCCACTCAGAGAGATGGTAGATATAAATATATAAAAAAAGAAAAAATGTACCGAAAAACAAAATAATAAAAAAAAAAAAATATTATTACCGTAACAATCTTGTACTTACATTCATTGCTCGTATATATGCCAAGTTAATCCCCAACGATTTCCAATCAATAATCCAACAGCTCGACGCGCTCATCGGACATCCATCGGATATGGGTAAAATAACAATAAACATTTTTTTTCTTTTTTTTTTTTTTGCAACAATCAAGTATTTATCCTCACACATCCGTATACATTCCACTCGTCCAACAACGTAAAAATCATGGGTGCAACGTCCAATCGTAGAAAAAAAAACTACGAATCCAATACAATATACGGAAAAAGACGGTGGTGCAATGAACGACGCTTCGCAAAGACTCCCTACCTCCCCAACTCTGTCCCGGCAACCGAGCCCGTGCATCAATCAATGTTGGGACGGGTAGTCGGCGTACCAGCTGAACGCGCCGTTGGGCCCGGTGTGGGCGCCAAAGTCCACGTAGTCGTAGACGTGGGCGGTGGCGGCGGGCCTGTCGGGCCTATGGGCGCTCTCGGCGTGGTGGAGCGTCGAGACGGCGAGGGGCACGTACGAGGACTCGGGCGTCTGGCGGGCCATGCGGGGGCCGTTCGCGGGGGCCGGGGAGCCCGCGACCAGCTGGTGGTTCGCCGACGCGGATATGGGGCTCAGCTCGATCACGTCCAGGCCGTCGATCGGGATGGCGATGTAGCGCGCGCCCGCCAGGGCTGGGCCGAAGCAGCAGCTGGCTATGCCGATCAAGCGCTGAGGGAACGACAATGAGTCTGTGTCGAGCTACTGGTTTATACTTTAAAATATTGTGAAATTACCATCAACGCTAGTGTAGTGGACGCACCGCTGGCCATGTCGACGGTGTGTGTATGTACTTTTGCAAAAAGAATCCGAGGGAACAATGTATACTCGGTGGTGAACGTCTCGGTTGTTTCGGCGACTGAGCGAGCGGAGCCGCGGGTCTGGTGATTTTATACGGTTTCGCTTCGGAGCGCTTTCTCGTGGCTCGCAACAGCGGATCGAATCCCGTAAATCCATCTCTCGCCTGTACCTTAATTACGTTGCTCCATCCGAGCCGTTTCGTCGTGGTCGTCGTTGGGGACGTTAATTTTTTATTCGACCCTGCGGTGGTGCATGGCTGGTCGTTTTACTTCCGATCACGATCTGGCGTTTTTCTCCTTCTGGTTGTTGTGGCTCGGTTTTTTTTTCTTCTCCTCGTTTGTGGCGTTTAAGGAGAAATAAAATAAAAAAGCAACACCGGTAGTTGGGCATTTTCGTTGTCTTCCGCGTGCGGGTGCATGCGAGGATCATTCTTCGGATCGTGGTTAATATTTCAATCAGTACAACCGTTTGGTTTTCATTAATATGTATATTGGGAAAAACAAGTTATGTCCAATTTTTAATACATTTTGTGAATTTTTACGAAAGGATAAATGTTAATCAACAACTACGAGCTAATACAGGTTTTTCTTTTTTTTTTCTTTTTTTTTCTAAAAAAATATAGATTTCAGGCATGTTTTTTTTCCCTACAAGTACTTATAACGAATCGTCGTTTGTTACAAAGTTAACACAATAGGACATATTTTACACTTAACTGCGCAATCCGTTAATACTGTGTTACGCTCAAGGCACATTATTTTATTTCGTTTCGCCTCTGCCCGTAATGATAAAAATAAAACTCAATTATGAATAATCCTCGAATTTTCGTTTCCGTTGCTAAAAACAAGATAGTTGTCGGCAACGAACGAGAAAGTAAAATAAAAAAGTTCAATCAGAATAAAGCGATTGTTTTTTTTTTTTCCTAGCTAAGAGCCGACGTATACATACTACGAATTGTGCATTGGCGTTGGCACAGTTTACCAGGAGACTAACCATTGTTAGTTCAGTGTTAATCAAAATATTATTATCATTATTACTCTTCATTCACAGCTTCGTTTCTACAGCCTAACAGTCTATGTGTAGCGATCCAGCCGCCATCGCAGGAGTTTTAGAAACATACAGGTATTGTGTTTTATTATGGTTATTTGCGCTCGTGAAAGGTCAAAGGCACACGTGTCAAAAGTTAATGTACTGATAGGAACTCGATAGAAATTTCTTAGTTTATACCGATCAAGTGGGAATGTAGGATGAACCTCTTTTTTTTTTTTTTTCTTTTTTTTTTAGTTTTTAGTATCGTGTACGAATCAGAAATCAAAAAAAGTTTCAGAGAAATGTAAATTGTATATTCAAAGTTGAGGACAATGAAGATGATAGAAAAAACATCCCTCCTCGGTGATATTATCCAACGAAAGACGACACGATTTGTACGTATGGTTTCTCAGTTAAAAACTTAAACATCTAGTAGTTCACAATGATCAAAGCGAGGCAACCCTGACGCAAAGAAAAAAGAAAAGAAAAGAGAGAGATGAAGACTTAAGTACTCCAAAACCGAAAAGGGCGCGTGCCTCAGTACATGTCAAAGCCGTCGGAGTCGTAATCCTCTCGGTCGGAATCAAACTCGGCTCCAGCGGGCAGCACGTTGATAGGCCGACTCTCGCTTTGCCTGAACGGGTTGTTGGGCCTCCTCTTGACCCCGTTTTGGTAGCCATTCGCCGGCACGACCCTCTCACCGTCGAGGAAGCTACGCGAGCCGTTCATCGCGCTCCTGGCCGGGGTAACCATTTCGACATCTCCAAAGCCCTGGAAACGCCGACAACAATCGGGATATTAAAAATCAAGCCACGCATTTGCAACTTTAGTGAACTGAACTTTGGTGGGTACATCTTGGAAAATCCACTCTGTACACCTATTAATGGTCAAAACACCTCAAAGCTAACAAATCACGACTCGGACGTTTCTCTGACGTCCAATAGAAATCTCTCGGCGTAATTATCGCAAAGAAAACCAAGCGAGAGTCCAAAGGCTCAACCAGTAATTACCTTCTCGGCGTGTCCGTTTCTCTCGTCTCGTGTCTCCCTCACGCTGCCGGAGGGCTCCGAGTTCCTGGACGGCGAATCGGTGCTACGCCGCGAGAGCGACAACGTCGAGCTAGCCCGGGACCACGCGTGATCCTCGGCGACGGCCAGCTCCAGCTTCACCAACTCCTTGTTGATACTGACGAGCTGAGGAATGGAACGAGGAACAGAAATAGTATACGATGGATCGGAAAATGGTTTTTTTTTCTCTCTCTCACCTGGTCGTCGCGTTTCTCGAACAACTCGATCACGGGAACGGGGTTGGCCTCTTTGCCGCTGGCTCTGGTGAGAGTCGAGTCGCCCTCGAGGCGTTCCTTCCAGGCTCGGTTGGTCGCCGTGCGCGCCTCCCACTGGCCGTCGGCGCTCAGCTTCGAAAACACCTCGATCGCCTGCTTGCTCCACTCGCCGTCCCTGCAAGGGGTACGACAGTGGTTGAAATGGATAAAAAAATGATTCGTTTTTAGGGGTTGGGACAAAAATTTTCATTTGTAAAAATGACGTGGAGCTTCACCCGCGAAATACTTACCAAAATACCAAATGCAGTGTCAAAATAGCCACATGTGCGGTAATTAATATTAAAATGAGAAAAATAACAATAACGAGTTCCAAGCTTGGCCGAGGGTGATGATAACGAGACGTGTTTGCTTGGAAAAATCTAACGTCCAAGTGGGAGGGAGGTAACGTTTGATCTGCGAGATGTTGGTATTAGCGCGTATACGCAAAAGCTGAGACTTGGGTGTGGAATTACATTTCGACAAATGGAGAAACAAAAAAAATAATTGTAAAATAAAGTTTAATTAAACGAGCGAGGGTTCGTATCCAAGTTTTAATTGAGCGAGTCGTCCTTGTGCCCGTCTCCTTCCCCTTTCGACTCCTTGCATTGTTATTCTTCGCGCAAACTCTCGAACAAAGGGAGCTTTGAATGAAAGCTCCTTCGCTCCTTCTCCCAACTACACCTTTTTACGTTTACGCTGCTGCGCAATTGGCGAAATTAATTAAATTTTCTGCAATTCAACAAACATATTATATACAGGATACACCGCAACGCAAGAGGGCGTACGTTAATTTTATCGCAAATTGGAGAAAATCCGGGATATCTTGGAAAAAAAAAAAAAAAATTTGTTTGTCCGTTATCAACTGGTAATTGTATATTCGCCATTTAGTGCTATCACCTGTCGATTTAGATTCTAACTGGACGAGCGTCCGATAAATACTTAGATAAAATTGGCTCACGTTTAAATGGTTTTCGTTTTTCCCTAAAACAAAAGGAGCATCCGTAGTGTGTGCAAAAAAACATACTTCGTGTTTGCATCGGTTGTCCTCCCGTATATATAGATTGGAAAAAAACAACTATTTGCAAAACATGCGCAAACGAAGAAATTCCAGGGCAAAGGCCATTTTTGGTACATTTCGCTAGATCGGCAAGCCCGTAGTGGCGTGTCACCTGGCAATAAATCGCGAAACGAGAATATGCTCGTGCACGATAACCCGGTGCCAGTAAAAGAGCACTCGATGCCTTTGGTTCAAGTTCGATGACCAACTGAGAGAGAAAGAGACGGAAAAAAATCGCGCTGTAAGACACCAGTGGTGGGTGTCCGGTGTGTGTAATGAAGCCGGAAAATACAGTGTGCGTGAGCACAGTATAACAGAGGCCATTAGCTGTCGAACAGCGACGTGTGCATCACCAGTAATACATCGATTTAGATGCGCGCTCTAGACGTTCACGTTAATTATTGTTGTACCGAGTCGTGCCATCGAGTGATCCCGAGAGTCAAAGTTGGGCCCTTAACTCCTTGCTTTTGGAGTCAGAAAATTTCGGTGTCAAAGGGAGAACAGCCGGTGTCACGCTCGCGCGTTTTACAGGGACACTTGGTTACTTATTCCTTCGGACTTTCTTCTTGGGGCTTCGTTTGATCTGGTAAGTAATAATGGACAATTTTCTGAAACCTATTTTTTTTTAATTTTGATGTTTAGTATGGAAAATTTGGTGGGATGGAATATCTTCTTACAACCTAAGGTAAAAAAAAAAAACATACTAAGTTAAAGGTCAATCACGACAGGCGATGAACAATATTTCAGGTGGTACAATTGAGGTTTTGCAGGGGGATTATTTTTAAAAAATGGGCATTTTGTTCTTTTTTTTTTCATGTAAACAAAAATTGACAAATATTGAGCAAGTTAAAGTTTGGGTGTGGAGGGGGACATGATTTTACGATAGTCGCGTGCTGCATTAATTTGATATTGATAGACAATACATCATACCTTGATATAATATACCCACGATTATGAAAAATAAATGCGTGTAATTAATTATTGATTATAGTATCTACAAATTTTAGATTTCCGGAAATTAGACGGACCCTTGTCGACTGAGGTTTTGATTTTCACCCGAGACTGTGAGAAACTACGGACAGGTTGATTAGTTTTCCTGGTTTTTTTTTTTTTTTTTTTTTTTCTGGCATCAGCCATTAAATAATCTTAAGGTTTTAGGCAGAAAAACCACTTTGGAAATATAAGCCGCCGTTAGTCACAAAAAATCTGTTTCGCCACCAACAATCGATGTATTGTCACAAGATCCGCGAAGACGAAATCACGCATCGAGTTATGCGTACTGAAAAATGAAAAAATAAAAAAAGCCGATAGCAAACGGTATAGCTTCGTTCGGCACGTCCTTTAACAACTTCCGCAAAGTGCATTTGCAGACGGAGCCTGTGAACTATAAATACACAAGTAGCATTACCTATTGTCTCCACTCGCGACACGTCATACCTCCATATGGAGTGCCATAATTTCCACCTATACGTCTACCGATACAGTATATATACACTCGCACCGCAGGACAAAACGTCGCGGGTGAAAATAGAATGACAAGTACACGAGCCAGCGGGGCGGGCGCGGTCGCGCTAATAGAGACTTGCGGTCGACTGTGCTGTATAGGTGCCGGACTCGTCGTCAATCCCTAATCGCGAGGCACTTTCACTCGATCCGACTTGGGAGTACTTTGTTATTATTATTATTGTTTTTTTTCTTTTTTTTTTTTCAACTATGCGGTGTTGAGCTCAAAATCAACGGCGACCGTGACGCTCTCGCAGCTACGGAAATGACGGATACTTGACGAGGATTCGGCGTCCGTATATGTAATTACTGTTCGGGACACAGAGTACAGCCATTCGTGAATTCGATATGTTTACTTGAGTCAAGTTGCGGTTAATGTTTTTAAATAGAAATTAAAATGTGGTAAATCTATGGGATATGGTTGAAAGTGGGAGGAAAAGGTAATAACGATAGCCCAGCAATGATTTTGTTATTTTCCTGCAGCCCAACGTGTTGGATGAAAATTAATTGACTCTTGAGATTATGCATCTTCGAGCCAATTCAATATTCAAGATGTAATAAAATTTTTTATAGGGAAAAAAAGTGATTCATGGTAATGCTCCAAAAGACGATTCAAACGAGTCTTTTGAAGCTAATATTGACAAAGAACTTTATGAAAAAGTAAAACCTGAAAAAAACTATTTTTCAACTATTCTTTAAAACTTATGTAGAACTTTTTCCTTAATTCATGGGGGTGTAAAACGTTAAATAAAAAAAATAAAAAAAGTTATTCTATAACTATTGTAAAAAATTGATCGTCGCGTGACAGAAGTCTTTTTTTTTTTTTGTCGTATAATTTATTATTTCAGTGTATATTATAATACATATGAATAATATTTATATGAAAAAAAGGGACGACGCATTGGACGAAAGTGTATGATTGAACAAAAAAGTGCTCGGTAACGAGAGAGGAGAAATACATATTTTATTGATTGCGCAAAGATTAGAAAAGAATTGATAGCGATGTAAAATTAGATTAGTAGTCAATTTGGTGATGCGAGTCGTGTATGTATTGTAAAGAAAGGGGTATATGTGAAATGTCTCAATTGGTGCCGCTTAAAGCCCCGCGAGTGCTGTTTGTAACGAATGATGCATGATTTTTGTCACAGGTTACGATTGAACCGCAGAAAAAAGGGAGAACAAGGACATAGCGCATATAGGATTTAATAGCAAAAAACATGTAGTCATTTTTTTTTAGATTGATAATTTTTTTTTTAACAACATGATATATTTTACTATTCCTTTCTTTCGACACGCGAGAGTTGTGCTTACGACATGTATTTCATTTTTGATGTACACGCCACTTGGGACGGATATATTTTAAGACATAATTATGGTGTGCGCAAAGATATAAATGAAGAATCTCGATAAAAAAAAAAAAAAAGACGTAAACTGTTGAGAGATTGTTGAAATACTGTCGTTCTGTCGCTGTATTGACTGTATCACACACCCACTCAGAGAGATGGTAGATATAAATATATAAAAAAAGAAAAAATGTACNTAATCAATTATATTAAATTATAGAAATAATTGAACTAAAACGAGTTTTTAATATGAAAATAATCTAAAGTGATACCAACTGATTTGTTTATTATTTTACAAAGAAAAACCAGACAAAAACTTTTTTTATTGACGCGAGCCAAAAGTTTTGTATTATACGATTTCTTCTGGTGATTTTATGATACCCATACGTAATAAAAAATAAAAGTGTTTATAAGTTGTTACAAACGTAATTACAAAAGTGCATCTAACGTAACTAGTACACAATAAAAAAAGTCGCAGTAAAATAAGCACTTTTAAAAACATCTTTAAAACTCAAATGTTTTTTCCAACTAACAGTCACTGCAGTCTATTTCAAATGTTGATTTCAGTAAAAAAATTTTTTACTATTATTTATGATAAATCATTCAAATCTTTTTTAAATGCTTTCATAATGATTAACATAATTAAAATATGTTTTGTTAAATGATCCCGAAGCAATAGTTTACTCTGCTTAAACAAAGCAACATATACACTTTTTCAACGTGATTATTAAGAAAAAAAAAATATATATGTAACACACTACATTTGCTACAAGCCAATTGACCCCCAATCATATTAATATAACTTACAAGGTTTCTTTTATAATTATTACTTCGGGAAAGAGGAGAGTAACTTTTTTTTTAGGAATGAATATTATTTAGATATCGTATCTGGACTTTACGTAGATATACCATAATATCACACATAAATACATTCTCCAATTATAAACGTGACCAGTTTTAACGAGATTAAAGGTTTCTTTTAAATTAACAAGATAAAAATAGCAGAATATACAGCAAAGTAATCAGTAGTCGACTTACATGTCTTCATTGAAACTATTTTTTCACAATTTAAAAAACGACTATCGTGTTGGGTAGCATTTTGATTCACCCTTTGGATAAAAGTGTCAAGTAAAAAACAAAATTATTTATCAATAGTTATACATTTAATATATTTATCATATGAAAAAGTAGGGTACCCATTCAAACGATTCTTTTACCATTTTTCGTCGTTATCTAGCTCGTGAGAAAAAACTCCGGGTTAAAAGTTACAGGAAGAGTCTTCAAAATCCAAGAGGCGGTTAGAAAATTAAAAAAATTTACCAATAGTATACTCCTCTATAGTTAGGTACGTACATACCTGAATATTTATATTCTCGTGCGCAAGTGATTTCGTACAGTAAAATTCTGACATACGTAAACAATTGGGAAGGAAACGAGAGGTAGTTTTCCCGAGGCATCGATTAACCCAACGATTCTGTTTGCTCGCCGGTTTCTTCGACCCACCATAATAATTCTAAGCCTGTACCTATACACGTGACTGAATATTTCGCCTTCCCGAAAATTAACGAGGTAAAAGGCATCTAGTTTCATTTTGTGTACAACAATAATTTTTTTTCCTTTTTTTTTGAAGCGCGCCGGGATGAAAAGTTAAAAAAAAAAAAACAAAAAACAAAATGAAACTGAACCCTGGGTGTAACTTTAGCCGACCCACAAAACGTTCTCGTACATCAGCGCATGATAAAACACCGACACGTACCGTTATTATGGCACTTGCTCTTTTTGCGCGAAAGTTCGGATACGTACGATGAAGTATGACCCGAAACGCAGCGGGTCGAGAAAAAACAAATATCTGAAACACTTTGGCTAATGAAACGACGCGACGCGTTGTTTTCGGGGATGGTGCGAGATTAGCTCGATGGTATTGCGCGTGTACAAATTTTCATTTGCTAACCGACGTTTTGGCATCGCGTCGATACGCAAAAGAGGTACGCTTGAAAGCGCGCTTTTACCGTATCTATATATTTCAAACGACAAAACAAGCACGCATACATGTGTACTCAAACTCAAACAGACAATACATATATATATATATTCGATAGTTTACACTCAAAGACAAGACATCCGGGGATTTTATTCGCGCAACGACCCTCGTCCTGTATACATATACCATGCATCGGTGATACTATTGCAGCGAAGGAACAAAACGATGTTGTAAAATGTAGTGCGATTCGTGTACACACGAGCAAACACGTATACGTGTGGGGAGTGAGCAACAGCAGCGATAGTAATTAGCTTCCATTCCAGGACACGCGATGTGCTCCGATGCGCGAACAACCATGTACCCATATATTACGTGTATTCCGCAGCCGCGTTGCAACGTATATTGTACACTCGCAATGCCACGCCAAATTCCAAGGGCCGTTCATCGCTCGAACGATCTAATATCGCGCCCATCAACCCCTTGTTTGTACGCGCGCGGTTTATACAGGCACGACTTTTCGACGCTCTCTCTCGAGCTCCCGAGGAAATTACTTAATCACCGTCGTTTGAACTTTGATGCAGCAGTGGGGCTGTATCGGGATGACCATGTATGAGCACGTGTTAAAAGGTGTTTCGCGATTTCACCACGCAATTTTTTACGTTGAAAAAAAAAAAAAAATAAAGTGCCAATGCGGGCGAACCATAGGTATACGTGTATACAACTCGAATAAAAGAGCTCAAAGCGGCGAGGGTGAATATTGGGTTATTAAACGCAACGCGAAGTTGTAAAACGCAATTATAACGAAAGTTCGCATCGCCGCTCGCGTTGTATTATCCAAGTAAGCGCGGGAGGGGCAATCAGATCTGGGCTGTTCGATATGAAACTCTCTGGTTTAATTCCATGTAAATTGCAGCCTTTAAATGTTGTATATGTATACCTACACGAGAGCCACGCGTACCTGATTTTACTCGACCCGTTGCTTTGTGTATAGGGGGTGCGGCGAAAATTATACAATAATCTTCGTATACGTTGTAAGCAGTGAGTGTACATGCACGTAGTTTGTTTTGTTTAGCGTATCCGTTTTTTCAGGTAAATTTCAGGAGTTGCTCGCACGTCAAAAGGACGATAAACATTGGGTTACTCGATGGAGTTGTTGTAAAAAAAAAAAAAAAAAAAAATGTTCCGACCTAAAGTAACTAAACAACAACATCATTGATTAAACAAATAAACACAGAATGACACTATAGACAAATATACTCGAGAATCGCAAGTGTTTTTTCTTTTTCCTTCGAAACATTTCATGTACACCCCAAATGAAGATACTTCAGGGCCACCTTTAAATCGTACTTGTTTCGAGACTCAAATAAGTACAATACACTTGTATATAAATATATGTATTTTATTTTTATTTTATTTTTTCAATTCTATGCAGATAAAGCACGTGTTATACACCTGACAAGGGCACGTATAGGTAATATACACGAAGGATGGAGGTGTTGGTGCCAACGGTGTCGGACGCGATATTCAAGTACACTTGGCCGATAGGGCGGTACAGGCGAGCAATTTCGAAAAAACAGAGCCTCGACAGCCCGAGCTTCGACCTCAACGTCAACGGAATACGCAGCTCGTGGAACCTCTCCATTAGATTCTGGAAGACCCCCGATGGTTTGCTCCTACCTACATACCTACATGTATAATATACATAGGGACGCAAAACAATAAGCGTGTGTGCCCACATTTGATTATTATTCCAGGCAAGAGGATAACAAACCCGGTGGTGCTTTGCCTGAATATACGGAACTGCGCTATCGAGCAAGTCGAGCGGGTCAAGGTGCGCTTTCAGTTCGCGGTGCTTAACGTCGAGACTGACAATTGGGAGTACCAGGGGCCGAATCACGCTCTTTTGGAGCTGCACGCGAGCTCGAACGTCGTGTCGCTGGGCTACAAGGACTTGTCGGTCGTCGACAACAGACATTTGACGAAGAAAACCGGCGAGCTACGGCTCATGGTCAAGGTGCAGATAGCCCAACGGGAAACCGAAAAGCACGCCCTCACCGTGGTGAGTTTTTTTTTTTTTTTTTTCTTAACTTCAACCCGCGTTCGTATCATATATAGTGTTCACGTCGTTTCTTCATGGGCAACGTGTCAACGAGTCAAAGTTTATCAAGTACTTGCACCGAGAGAAAAAAATAATAAAAATTACTGTGCTAGAATGGTGATCTGGTATACTGTTTGAACCGGAAATTCTTGGTGCGAGTACAGTGATTTTAACTGTTTGTACGGTACAAATTACTGTCCGGAATGGTAAAAATTTAATTGGCAAAGGTAAAAAAAGGCAATGGAATGACACAAGATCACTATTCTAGCACTGTCATTATTTTTTTTTCTCAGTGTACTTGGAAAACAAAAAAATAATGTGGATCAGTTTTTTTGTATCCACAAATTCTTGATGATCCACTTTAATTGCCTCGGTGTCATTTCTCTCGGAAATCGAATGGACTCATTGCCGGGGAGGAAAAAAAAACAAAAAACGAGTTGCAACTAAAAAGCAAATTGTTTGCAGGACATAGCGAAGCTGTTGAAGCACCCCCACGCAGCCGACACAAAGTTGATTTGCACGTCAGGAGAGGACCAGAATTTGGAGATCCCGGTGCACAGTTGCGTCATCGCGGCGCGGAGCCAAGTGCTCGCGAACATGATAGAGCCGCTCGACGATGCCAAGGAAGAAGATAAGGAGGAGGAAGGCAAGGGAGAAAAGACGACAAACTCGCCGTCCACGACCGATTGTCCAAAGAACGTACGTCCCGAGCGGGTTCAATGATTGCTGTTGCTTGTATATCCATTCGGGTTTTTTTCAAAAGTGCACTTATTTTTGGCTTGGGGCTGCGTGTGATTTCATGAGTTTACACAAACACATAACTGATCATTGTTGAGGACTACTTTGTTTCCTTTTTCGAAAACTCGATCGCTCGCTCGTGTGACCTGCTTACTGCGCTTGTTTATTTATACAGTGTGTTCGTAACTGTTGCGTTTTAATGTTTGCATTAACGTCATATAACTTCATCGATTGAAAAATACATTGCAAAATTGTAATTGAGAACTAATAAAAAAAGTATATATTATATACAGGAACAAGTATACCATGTGTGTGTAAAAAATAAAAATAAAAAATAAATAAAAAAACTTTTTTTTTTTGCACGAGCAGATGAAAAATAAGCTAGAAGTGTTTGGTCTATCCGCCAAAGTTGCGAAAGAGTTGTTACGATATATTTACTCCGACCACGTCGATAATTTGGACAAGCTAGCTCCTCAATTGCTTTCACTTTCGTTGAGATTTCACTTAAAAGGTTTGATTTTGTCTCTTACGCCATCACTATTAATCATAGATATTTCTTACATTTTTTTTTTTGAGGCACGATTACCTTATACTTTTGCCAGAGAAAAAAGATTTAACTTGTCTGTTTTGGGTGGAATATGAATTTTACATTTGAAATAATTTATTTTCACGTTATATGTATAAGTAATCAAGCGTCCTATTCCAAAAATTCCTATATTGAGACCGATAATTTTTTTTTTCCTGCAATTATTTCAAACTTTTCGAAAAATTGTTTCACGGTATTTAAAATTATATTTTTTGCTCTGGTTAAAAATTTGTCAGTTGTACCTTGCACCCCAAAGCGTATTAAATCATATAAATTTGATAAAATTTTCATCAAAGTACTTTTTTGTTCTAGGGTTGAAGGAAATCTGCGAGCGAAATTTAATTGACACAATAACGCCCGAAAATATAGCTACCAGATTGTTGTTAGCAGACAAATTTGGTTGTGACCTACTCATGAAAGCTGGGCTATCTTATTGTTGGGAGAACTCGATGAGAATCAGTAAAAATTGTGCTTGGAGAATGATGGAAGAAATAAAGCCAGATTTATTCAATGAAGTTTGCGAAGCAAGCACAAAAAATTGCCGATTCACTAATTTATGTAGATGAAGGTAGATTGTGCAATTTAGTTAATAGCAAAAAATGTTTTATATAAAATAATTAGAAAGGTTAATTTGTAAATAAAAATTTGATAGCTTATGACAAGACTTACTTTGGCTTAATTCCATACAGCGAAGTCTCCTGGGCTTGAAATCTTAGACTCAAGAACTCTGTGCTCAATTCGTAGAGATCCTTGGCAGCTATTTCAGCGCTATCACCAAAATCACTGAAGAATATTCTGTAAAAGTGATCATCAAGCTTTTCAATAACTTGTCCACGGTACCACTTTTCATCACTAAATTGAGTAGCCACCACTTGATCTGGTCTTATCTGCTAAAAAAAAAAATAAATAAAAACATAAATAAATAAAAAATTAAATTTGAAATCTAGAAATTACAAGATATTTGTTTGTGTAAGGTAGTAACATACTTCTTCCAAAACATGATTCAGTCTCGTTTCTTCATCCTGGTAATAATTTGTCATTTCTTGTATCAAGTCATCCAATTTTTTATTAGTTGAACCAATAATTTGAATATAAAATCGACTAGGGTTCTCTACAGAACAAACAAAAACCTCGTATGGCTTTCCAAGTGCTGAAAAAAAATATCTGCGTGAGATTTCATGATTCACCTGTGCTAAAAACTGATAATGTGAAACAATTCATTTTACCTGACTCACACAACGAATCATCTATGCTATGAAAATCAAGAGAGTCGTTTTCTAGTTCAGTAGGAGCACCATTATCTGACAATGAGCAATAGGAAGGCTTTATTCTGGGTGTTCTGGTGTGTGCGTTTTGTAAATTCTCCTGGGCTTCTCTCTTATCTTCACGAATTTGTGCTTCAATAGCTTGTAGAGCTTCAGCTATGTTTTCTGATTTACCTTTTATTGTCACTTTTCTCAGTGCATCTACGAAAAATTAATATCATCCAAGTTACGCCTGAACACCGTTACAAAAAGTTGAAAAACATTAGTACATACCCAAATCAGTGGTGGTTGAAATGGTAGACTTGTCAAAAATGATCTTAACCAATGACGCATTTTGTAATTCTTTCAACAAGTATCCATTATTCTGGTCGAGTCTATTTATAGTTCTTACCGGAGCCCAAATTTCATATGTTTCAATAACCTCCTCTTTGTTCACAATTTTTCCAATCTCCTCTCTTATCAGCCTGATGCTCTCGACAGTAGGACCAGCTAAGAAACATTTGCGATCACCACTAATAACATCTATCTCTTCTCCAAAAATAAGTTTTGCACTGGTGGCATGCTCGATTCTCTCAAGCTCTCTGCCACCACGTCCTATGATGAGTGGTATCACTTGATTACTGAGCGTGATTTCTTCCTTGTAGGCTTCAAACTTTTTATCCTTCAGGCCTTTTTTTTCTTCTTTCTTGCCGGCATTTTTCTATACAAATTAACAAAACGATTTAACCCTCGTGCACGTCACAGATCCGAGCGAGCTTTGAAAAAACAAATGGATGCACTTGTCTTACCTTTTTGTTGAGTAAGTAAATCAAAATAACCCCGGCTCCTGACAACGAGAAGCTCACCAACAAAGGGAAGAAAAGACGTTGAGGTGACAGACGCATTTTGGCCCAGCTGCAGCTGTAACGTTTAAAAAAAAATTTTTCTTAGAAGCAAAGCAACTTTAACTGCACACTGCCCCGTGTACAACTAAGTTTCATAATATAGTTAGAAACTTTTAGAGGTAAAGATAGCAATGACATAATGTGTACGTTTGGAGTCACCCGATAACCTCAAACACTTGTATGCGTGCTTGGTGTAAACACACACAACTGAGGAGGATGGAAAAAAAGCGCATGTACTCAATTATGCAATTATCCAAGTTTGGCGTACTTACTTGCTCTTTTGGCGTAATCCTCATGCAGCGGAAGCTGTGATCGTATAACAACAACGGAGAGAGAGAGAGCGGTTTCGTTTCGACAGATTACCTCATCTTTTACTTGTATACCAGCCGACGCCCGAGCTTTGAAAACACTTCTGCCAGTGAACGCCGCATAGCCGCATCAGTTAAATGTGCGTCATAGTTCATATAGTCTTGCGGTCATGTCGTCACACGTGTAATCTAATAAGTACAGAATTACAGATAGGTTTTAATTACTTCGGAGAAGAGCTTTTACAAAAATAGAAAGTAAGATTAACTTTTTTTCTGTGATATGTAAAGTGGATTACAATGTATGGGTTCGTGACAAATTGCAGTTGTTGAATCTTGTTGCTGCGTCCCACCATCAATACAATTATAACATTACATTTTTTCGTATTGATTTTTGACAGATGTTTCATTGATTGGACACGGATTTTGACATCCGTCTCGCATTTAGTCACATATATACGTTCATTACGGATTCAATATAAAATCAAATTAAAATCTAAATCGATTTTGCATGTATTGATTAATGCCCTGCATCCACTTGATTTAATAATTATTAATAATAGCTAGACACGTTGTGTACCAGTGTTATCACATCCAAATAAGAGCAAAAAAACGGGTGGGTTCAAATATTGTGAATCAAATTAGTACAACCGTTTAGAATTTTTTATTAAGTTTTTTTTAAACAAACATAAGTGAAAACTTTAGTCAAAATGTCTAAATAAATTACATCTCTTTTTGGGTTGACATACTATACGTGGAATTTCATGAAATTATAAGACAACAAAGATACCATAATAACTTTTGGGGAGCATGTGAAAAACTAACGATTTTGAAAGTCATTTGGACAATTACAGGAAGATTCGGTCATCTTTAAAAATAATATACGTTTAACGTACGTATTGAAAATTTTGTGTTATAAGTCATGACTCACAAATACTACAAACGAAAATACATAGTGGACCGAAACGAGGAAAATGCTTTTAGACATTTATTTTGTATGTACACCCTTTTCAGGTATATGAATAAATGATTACATAAAATATATGTTCGTTGAGCGTATCTGCATACCTAAGTGCATATTTATATATTACAAAGTAAGGGAGACACAACTCTCTATACTAATAGTATAAAAAAGTATCACATACGTTAGAAATATGTAACATAAATTTCACCTGGTACACATATAAAGTAAGAGTATGTCGAGTGTAATAATTGTATACGTATACTTTCAAGTCAAAAGTTTCCGAGCTTGCAAAAACATGTCTTTGAGAAAAAAAAAAAAAAAAAAAAATCGTACTTCACGGATTGAACATTAACGTTATTGTTTAAATTGTTTTGGAGCTTTTGCCGACATATACGTTGATTAATGAGTTATATACAGAATATTAAAGCTTCTAGGAACAAAAATGACAAAAAACTTTTTTTCCGCCCTCGGGTGGTTTTGGGAGGCTGGTACTTCCTCGGGCGAAAAAGCAGTTTTCCGGAACTCGTTCGAAAAGTCTCCTTTACGAACCTCGTTACGTCCCTCACCTTCGGCTCTGGCCGCAAACCTCTCGGTTCGCAAACGGAGACTTTTCTAACTCGTAGGAAAACTACCATTTTGTCTGTTAAAAGCACGGTTAAAAAATATCTATCTGTTAAAAGTAGTTTTTCTTTTTTTTATTTTAATTTCTGTAGCATAAATTTTTTTTTTTGTTTTGTTGTTTTTTGACAACAAAATATATTCGTCATGTAGGGTGAGTTTTTTTTTTAATTTGATTTAATAAACAAAGGCAATAATGTTATCTAACGATTTAATTTAATGTAAATACTGTATATAATTCACACTCTGTTACTCGATACTCTCAATGACAACAATAAGAAAAGAGCCAACAAAAAAATATATGCGTTAGAGTCTCTCTCATGCGTGGAGACTAAGTATATACAAAAACTGTATAAAAAAATTCAGATACGGAATACGAGAAAACTTCCTATCCTTCGACTACTGATATTTCCCTAATAATAGTCTCAAGTTTCTTGTTATACATTCTGCGACACTATATGTTTTTTCTCTACATAGCTAGGTATATATAAGCATATATTTAATCACACTCTTGCAAACAAAGTGCATGTATATAATAATAATAACGGCTACCGAGAAACAGTTGCACTGTAACGTGTAGTAGTCATTATATACGTGCGATACTGCGATCAAATGCATACGCATATATGCGTGCCAGTACTTTTATGATTTTTTATTTGCATTCCATCCACGGAACTGCATATATGTATTATACAGGGTACATACGACGCGAACGATTAGAGGAAAAGGAAAAAAAAAAAAACTTAACGCCTGTACAATTATGTTCCCCTGTTACTTTTAGCGTTCTCGGATGATGAATTTTTAGGCATGTATAGATAAACCCCCGCTTGGTAATCTTTTATCTGAACCATATTGTATTATTATGCGCATCACGTGTTTTTTCTCTCGTTTCTCGCGCATATCGTAGTGTGTTATTGCAGTATATGTTTGGGTACTTCTTAATGGCTCACTCGTGATAACGGCTACTTAATTGTTTTTTTTTTTTTTTTTTTTTTCCTCCGTCGACGAGTCTTAATACATACATATAGGCACACCAATAGCGTCTCATATTCTCCTGGTCGCAGTAAGTAAAAGAGGAAATATTTTACTCCCAGTTTTAGCTTTCACGCCCGTGGTATATGTACAATTTTATGTTTGGTAAACATAAATATGTTGAAGATGAACGAGTTAACGAGAAGTCTCGTCAATCACATCGATAAATAATTTAAAGTGTGTTTATTTTTGCGTTACGAGTTGAAAATTTTTTGCGGATTAATTAGTCGAAGTAGCAATGTAACTGTTCGGAGGCAATGATTAATTGTTTTTTTTTTTCAGATCATCAGTATTGCAGTATTGTTGCTGATGGGACGTTAATAGAGGTCGTTTTTGCACATTATAATTGAAAATGTACCAATCGAAGAGACATTAATTTTTTCACTCTTGTAGAGATGAAAAAAAAAAAAGATGTAAAAACGTGCCTGCATGCAACTATAACCTGCTTCTAACATCAACGAGTGTCTTTTGTCATTTTGAAAGAACCAATGTAGCATGAAAGGAAGAAAGTCGCACAATGCAATTATTGTAATTCCTGCGGTGCGTGGTATGCTTGCGCGTGCATAGTGTCAAAACATTTTTTTTTTTTTTTTTTTTAGTAAAGCTTTCTTTGATTTACTACAAAATCAACATAGCTATTACCCCTAAGGGCTTACAAAGACAAAGGGAACAATCTGTCCATTTAAAATTACCTAAGTGTCAAAACAGAAGTGTTCTGTCAATCGTACTTTTATTTATCAACGAAACATGAACCCGAGAAAGTAACTGTAGTCGCTCAATTGACACACGCTCACACCGTTCCACACCCGTTATCTCTGGGAAAAACGATAACACGTACGTACACTCTGTATACTTTTTTTTTTTTTTCTTTTCCTCGACTCTCGTAGCTTGTGTGTATAGGTGTATGTTTTTACTTGACGGCAATTTAACGTGTTCCATTGCGCGTACATGTACTCGATAATTCGAGATTTGTGGTATTAATATGAATCTTGGACTGTTCTTTTTTCTTTTTTTTTTTTACATTCCGGACACTAAATAAATGATATGAAGCATATGTAACGTTTTCGCGAGTAACGATCAAAACATCCGTAAACAAGATAAGCTTATCTCGCGAGAACAAGATGTAAGATTATGTGTGTATATCTCACGCACAGCACCACAGTAAACGTGGAGCCGAAAGTACAACGTTCCGGTGGTATTATTTGTGTTGAAAATAACACCGACCGCAATTGCCGTCATTCTCCGAATGTGCATCAACCGTCAACCGAATGAAACCTGCATTTAAATTGAAAAGAAAAAAAAAGAAAATCTCAAAAAACAAACAAGTAAAAGTAGAAAAAAGAGGTAAGTATTGTGCGTGTAAAAGTAAGGCTCGTATGTTTACAAACACTCCGCACTCCAGCGAAGTGAAAGGTAGGTATATATATATATATTATATGTGCAGGTGTTGATGCTCACAGCGGATCGATAAGTGTCACACAAAAGAGCGCTCGCGGAACCGGCTAGTTTCATTCATTGAATCGGCGAACGCCAAGTGGAAGACACACGAGCGCTTATAATTATACTTACCTGCTTCCCACGAACAATAATTATGAGTGTCGTTCCGCGAGTTTTGGTTGCCCATAGCGACATTCCCACGCCTGCCATCGATTTACTCAAGCAAAGGTACGTTGATTTTTTTTCGTTTTTTTTTTTTTTCTTCTAAAAATAATAATTGTTCGTTGTTTATAGGTTTGACGTCGAGGTTATCGATTCAAAATCGGCCGACGATGTTTTAAAAGTCGTTTCCGAGTTCGATGCCGTTATGGGCAAAATTCACATAGATGCGAAATTCCTCGACAATGCGGGTAAGACAATGTTTTCGAACGAAAATCATACAAAAACAAGCGGTTGACTTTTTCCGGTTGAAGTAACGATTTTGTATTTTCTTGTTTGATTTACCACAGGAAACAGGCTGAGGGTAGTGTCGACACCATCTGCCGGGTACGACCACATGGACGTGGTTGAAATAAAAAAGCGCGGCATCAAAGTCGGCAATGCTCCCCAAGTCTTGTCAGCCGCAGTCGCAGAAATAGCTGTTTTTTTGCTCTTGGGAGCCGTGAGACGAGCTCACGAGGGCCGCCTCCTCCTTGATCGGTAAATTTATTTATGTATACCAAACTTGTTGTTACCTGATCATTTTAATAAGTGAAATTATTACCGTGGATTTTTTAAATCACATTGCAGAGGTGAAGTCGTGAAAGGATTTCAGTTCATGTTGGGACACGATTTGCGCAACAAAACTGTGGGTATCGTGGGATTCGGCAGCATCGGCGAGGCGATCGCCAAGAGACTGGTGCCCTTTGAAGTCAAGAAATTCCTGTACTGCGGTCATTCAAAAAAGAAAGCTGGTACTGTTTTACCTACATTGTAATTTACGGACTAAAAACTAATTGTAAAAGACATTGATTTCATTGTTACTTTTTTTTTGTCCACAACAAATCAGGCGATCAGATCGGCGCTGATTTTGTATCGCTAGATAAACTCTTGCAAGAGAGCGATATCGTTATAAATTGCGTGCCTCTGAACGAAGAAACCGAAAACATGTTCGACGACGAGGTTTTCAAAAAGATGAAGAGCACCGCGGTATTCGTCAACGTTGGCAGAGGCAGGACCGTCGATACCGATGCTCTGGTTCGAGCTTTGAAAAACAAGACGATTTACGCGGCGGGTCTCGATGTCACGGAACCCGAGCCCCTGCCTGTAGATCACGAACTGTTGAAGCTAGAAAATGTCGGTAAGTTGACTCGATGATTCTATGCGTCATTAATATTATTTATTTTTTCGTCAATAAAAAAAAAAAATCAACTTTTTTTGGTCATTTCTACGCAGTGTTACTGCCACACATGGGGAGTCAGACGATCGAGACGCGCACCGACATGGCGATCGCAGCAGCTGAAAATATAATCAATGCCCTGGAGGGCAAGCCTATGCGCTTCGAACTGTAAAAGTCAACAAAAATATTGTACTTTTTCAACAGTATTCCCAAGCTCATTGTCACATTATCTCAAGCGATGAATAAAGTTGTACTGGAAAGTCGCAAGTTCACGTTGTTGAACAATGATCTATATGTAGGTATATTGTTATGATCCGTATGTAGGATTGTTAAAGCAATTGTACCATAAGAATTATAATAATAATAAATTGTACCTACTCTATAAGTCTACCTAACGTTTCATACCCACTTTAATATTATTTTTTGATGTAAACAAATAATTACTTTTTCTAAAATTTATTCAAGTTTATTATTGATAGATAAAATAGTCTTTTTGCGACCATTGAACCATTTCAACCATTGGCGACCATCCACGTTTCATTCACGCGCACCTCAATTCCCTTTGCCAATCAGAAATCAGTAATTTCCAGGTGTATAAATTCTATATAACGTACCGGTAAATCTTATATATATATGTGTGATGCGAACCTAACCTCCCTCTGGCTCCCTAAAAAAATACACATATTCTTGTCACATCTCATATCCAATGTTGTTTCGAAACTTTTTTGAAAAATTAAAAACCACCTAAGCATCGAGAGGTGTATTAAAAATTATCTCTGTACTGATGAAAAACCGCACAAGTGATACCAAATTTTCATGATTTCTATTGTTGGCAGTGCTCACCAAGTGTACTTTTTTCCAAATTGTTAACTTTTTCATCATCCCGCAATAAAAATGATCAATCAAAATGCCATTGGCATGAGCTTTCTTATATGCCTAGCAATAGTGTTTAACTTTTCATTGCACAGAATCGAAGAAGGCCATGTGGGAGTTTACTTTAGAGTAAGTTGCAACATTGTTATTTGCTTAAACTTTGAAACAGCAATATTTTTACTTTACTTTTTCGTTATATTTGCTTTACAGGGAGGAGCTCTACTCCCACATGTCAGCACTCCAGGTTTTCACATGATGATACCCATGCTGACCAGTTTTAAGCCTGTGCAAGTGACGTTACAGACGGATGAAGTGAAAAATGTTCCTTGTGGGACCAGCGGTGGTGTCATGATTTATTTTGATCGAATTGAGGTTGTAAATATATTAGATGCCAATAGTGGTACGTGCATTTATCTACATGTTATTCTGTATTGAATTTGGTCTGAAATTAATCTCTGGCTTTTCTTAGTGTACAATATGGTGAGGAACTATACTGCAGATTACGATAGAGCTTTAATATTTGACAAAGTTCACCACGAATTGAACCAATTCTGTTCGGTTCACACGCTGCACGAGGTTTACATTGATTTGTTTGACCAAATTGATGAGAATCTCAAAACTGCACTGCAAAAGGATTTAAATGAAATTGCTCCTGGTTTGAGTATTTTAGCTGTGAGAGTAACAAAGCCCAAGATTCCTGAAACTATTCGAAAAAATTATGAACTTATGTAAGTAGTCCGTTACCTATGCTGAAGCTTGGCACTTATTTTATTTATAAACTTGGTTAATTTCAGGGAAGCAGAAAAAACAAAACTTTTGATTTCTACTCAGCACCAAAAAGTTGTTGAAAAGGATGCCGAGACTGACAGGAAAAAAGCAATCATTGAAGCAGAAAAAGAGGCACAGGTAGCTCAAATTCAATATAATCAGAAAATTATGGAAAAAGAATCACTCCAACGTATGGCGGCAATTGAGGATGAGATGCATCTAGCAAGAGAAAAAAGTCGTTCTGATGCCGATTACTACCAGATGGAAAAACAAGCTGAGGCAAATAAGTTGCTTCTGTCAAAGGAATATTTGGAACTCGAAAAGTACAAGTCATTATCCCAAAATGCTAAAATTTACTTTGGCCAGGACATACCAAAAATGTTTTCACTGGGAGGCTGCACAGATTTTCCAGATTTAGGTTCATCTCGGGGAAAAATAGATTCCCCAAAAGAGGGATAACTTATTTGAATAAAAAAACTAAGTCATTTTTGTAATTACATAGATAACTGATAATTGAAACATTAAAAGTTTACTAATAATGTTGAAAATCATTAAAAAACAAAAGTTTGTACAAACTCGTATTTTTAATTATCAGTTAACTACAAAAAACTTGTGAAAAATCATTTATTGTACACAGTTTTTTAGTACAGTTGTGCAATGTACAGTTTTTAAATACACAGATGAATATTAGTCGCTGTACAGTATCAAATAATATTTATTATATATATATTATGTAAGTGTAAGAATGAAATGGCAAATGATTAATAAACTTGCCTACACCAGTTTTTCAACATTACAATTCTTTAATTTGTAGGGATTAATACGTTTTCGCGTTTTCATGTTTTTATGTACTTGTCACTTTTTTTAATAAAAAAAAAAAAATCATTTTATAAACTTTTATTATTCGCCAAGTATCGATTGAAATAGCAATTATATTTACGTCAGATGCCTGAACAGTTTCATTATTATTTATGTTTAAGATAAATCGTTTATTGTCAACTAATAAAGTAAATCAAAACAGGAGCGTTATTTTTTGTTATTTGTAACAAGCACGTATATGTATTATAGCAATATATGTGTATATGTGTCTATGGTATGGAATTACTGCAGTGCTTTCTGCAAGAAACTGTCAACATCAGTTTTCTTTGAAGGATATCAAATCTACGATTTTAACCATATTGTATAGTTATTTTCGAATCCGCCCAAAATGACCGCAGTAAGTACAGAACTAAGTGAAAATAATTTCTTAAAAAATAATGAAACAATAAAACTGTCTTGCCTTGGTTAAGATCTTGGTTAAAGGTTATATTGTGTGTTTACAAAACAATGAGCTGTTTAATGTTGTGAGATTTGAGTTTCAAACGTTATGTTTAAGATGTTTATTGTTGCAATTTGTTTTTAGGACATAAGAAAATTTTTGCAAGGGTTGTTGGGCAAAGTTGAAGGTCTTCACAGTATTTTGATAACGGATAGAGATGGAGTTCCGGCAGTATTGGTTGCTAACGACAAAGCTCCGGAATTGGCAATGAGAGCAAACTTTCTCTCTACTTTTGGGATGGCCACTGATCAAGGAAGCAAACTAGGCCTTGGAAAGAACAATACAGTTATCGTCATGTACAATAACTATCAGGTGATATTTTCAGGCTGTATTTATTTTTTTTGGTTGCTCGTGGATTCAAATAAATGTGGTTTCATGTATTTTCAGGTAGTACAGATGAACAAGCTGCCTCTGGTGATAAGTTTCATTGCGAGCCAAGACTGCAACACTGGACACATTCTTGATTTGGAAAAGAAGATCGATCCTGTGTTAAATCAACTGAAAAATGCTGTTAAAGATGCATGATGGTTACCTGTTGTTCATTATGGAAGATAATTAATGTCAAGCCCAACAAAAAGTGGCATTGTGATAAAGACTCGAGTGTTGTTAGGTGACACGCTGTTGGACGAATCTTCTCCACAAGTCACTTTTACAAAAAACATTTGTTGATGATTAACGGATTAATTTGATAAGTTTTACATACTTTTTACGGTATATTTTAAAACTGAATTAAACATATATTATTACTGTTTTATTTTTTAAATTACATTGTTATATGTCATATGAGTGACTTCTTTCAGTGATCAGCTTGAGTTGTTGGTACATTTTTGTACTCGAGAATACAGATAGAATTTTTCAAAAAAAGTTGCAAATGTCGAAATCCAAATGTAACAAGGAAGTGTTATTAATGTTATTAATTGGCGCAACTAATTTTAACTTGCACCTTAATACTGAAAAAAAGAATCGCATAAGGTAATTAACAGCCTCGCGCAATTCTGTTTCTTTTCGGGATACCACAACAATTAATAATAATTATAACTTTTAAACGGTATGAAAAAAAAACAAAAAAAAAAAAAAAGAAAACTAGATGGCTGATTTATTTTTTAATCGATCAATACATCGTTTAAAGTTTGAATGTTTGAAATAAATAATATTTAATAAGATTTACTTAAAATAATAATGATGAGTATCTAGTAAACAAAATTTTTCCAATTGCAAGCATGGACAATATTTTTGGGGCTTACTACACGCGATTTTCATTCCTGTGATTATATCGTACGAAAATTTTTCATTCCCAATGTGAAACGTTTGCTAAGATCTTACAAATGATTTAGGGATAAGAGAAATTAGAGGAAGAGCATACATAATATGTATATACAATCAGAGTACCAGTAAAGAATAATAATAATATATACCACACAGCAATTCGTGATAATTTTTTATTGCTATTTAAAAAAAAATTCCACACCAACAGTTTATACGTTGCCCAAATCTTTAAATCCGAAACCTAAACTAATTCCAATTCATGCAACACCACGACCAGCTAACTTTCATATCACACGTAGGATGTAACAACATATAATATGCACCCAATCCTCACTACAAGCACGGACAACTCTCGTATAAACTTAAAAAAAAAAAAAAAAAAAAAAAAAAAAAAATCACACAAACGAATAAGTACATCGACACCTAAAACAAAAAACCCGCAAGTACAGCCTATTAAAACCCACCCCACGCATCATCACGACCGCCCGCAGTGCTTGAAACTCCCGCGTCGCCGCAGCGATATTTTCGGCCCGTCGGCCAAAGCCCTCGCGTCCTCGACGCTCCGCGCGAGCACTTTCATCTCCCGGAGAGCCCGCCTCGCCAGCTGTCCCTCGGGCGTCATGACCGGCTCCAGAAGCAGCATACCGAGCGCCCGCCTCAGCAGGTCCCTCGCCTCCTCGAGCCGCGAGACCAGCTCCGGGGCCGTTATCTCCCGCGCCGCGTACGCCCGGTTGGCCAGTATCGTCATCGGCAGGTGCAGCTCGTACAACACAATCCCTACATCAAAAATTACCCGTAGGTGTACGAAGGAAAACCGATGATGGTGTGTATGTACGTACCCTTGAGCCTCGACAAGCCGGGCTCGACGATCTCGAGTACTGCAAGGACCTCCCTGCCCAGCTGTACCATCCTGCCGAGGAGTTTCTTCTGTGGATTGACGCTACCGATCTCCCGTCTGCAGGCGCCGAGCATTTTGTTCTTGAGGGCCATCACCAAGTAGTGGTTCCCGTGAAAGCTGAGAACTAACTTTGCCAGGAGGTTCTCCATGGCCTTGAAGCTACCGAGCTCGTCGACCTCGTCCACGAGGCCCCTGGCTATGCCGAGGCTACTGGCTACTAGGCAGCCGCTCAGTTGGTGCTTGCACTCCTGGCACTGCCACCGGGCCTCCCGGCTGTAAGGATTTGAGATCGTTTTGCCGATCCGAGGGGGGGCTACCGGGCCGACTTTGCAACGAGGGCACAGCAAACAGCTCAGGTGACTGCCCGACTCCAGGGGATCGGTGCAGACGGCGCAATCGCAACGGAAGTACTTGCCGATCTGCAGGTGCTCCTGCCGATCTATGGTGCCCTGCGTCCGAATTTTGGATTTTTGTTTTTTTAGTCATATAATTTGTGTATAGTATGGATACACCACTTTTTTTTTTTTTTTTTTTTTTTTTTTTTAAAAAGTTTTAAAGTGACTAATTTTAAAACGTGGTATTATTTTTATGGATGCAATCGTCGGTCATACNTTTTTTTTTTTTTTTTTTTTTTTTTTTTTTTTTTTTTTGTTGTAAAAATGCATTTATACGTGTAACAAGAGCACCAAGTAATAAGCTTCAGCTTATACGCACATCATGGCAGTGATAAATTGTAAAGCTCTCCGGTTAAAACTAGTATGTAAATAGTACAAAGGCACATTATGTGATATCAAGCACCAAGTTGGTCGTTGGAGAGAAAAAAAAAAAAAAAAAAAAAAAAAAGCCGGAAAGTCTGCATTTATACGCAGTATGTGTGCCCTACAGAGTATATGATATGCTAACCAGCAGTGACGAGGTGTAATTGAACGAGATGATCCCGTCAGCCGGTACGGCCAGGGCCGCGTGTACGCTCATGTTGAAGCTCTCGTCGACGGACACGTGGGCGGTGGGTCTGCACTCGTGTGCCATCAACGCTGCCTCGACGAATAATCCACGCAAGGGCGCGCCTCCGCTGCCGTTGGAGTACAAACCCGGTACTCGCACCTCGAACGTGTTTACGTCAACTATGCCGCAGATACGCTGCACAAGGTCGTCCTCGTCGGAGGTGGTTTTCGGATGATGTAGACCGAGTTTGCGGAAAACCTGGTGGGTGTGTAAAGTGATGTTTTTTAATAACAAAATTTACAAAAATCAATTGATTAACCAAAAAGAATTTCCATACATAAACATAAAAAACTCTAGCCCCTCCCCCACTTAATGGTACGTTTTCATCATAATTAATCGTAAGCGGTAAATGCGAAACATTGAAATATAACGATACGTATGGGAAGTACATTAATGAATTGGGCGATCGGTCAACAATCGGTTGAGAAAGCACATCACCGATTTCATTATAACGTCTGGAAAAAAAAAAACCTGTAGTTGTATAAAAAGAAAAAAAAACCACTCGATCGATTCTACTCCAAAATGGAAAATTATCCGTGTGCGACCGTCGTAAAATATGTACGCAATAGCTGAAGTGTCGTTAGGAAACACAAAAAAAAAAAAAAGTACCACGGCTGCCCGAATCCCTGGAAAAAACAACCGTAAACCCGAGGCGTGGAGGGTGTGGTAGAGCTTTTTACAGTCACATATATTATGCAGTTACACAGCTTACATCGACGACCTGCTCCTCGCGCTCGCGCCACACGTCAGTGCCGCGCCTCTGCTCCAGATGCGCCTCCATGCGCTCTATCTCCTTCCAAGAACTGCTTTCCTCGTCGCTACTTTTCAAAAGCCAGAGCCGCAGGTGGAGCAGAACACGGGTCACCTCGTCGACGAGCTCGGAGCACACTTCTTTGTTATCCCGGAAAAAGTCGCACTCGGCGCCCGAGTGGAGCCCACCCATGTTCTGCAAAGGGACGCGTCATATTACATTATTTCAAATCGTTCGCGTTGAATCTTATGGAACGTATATACCTCGCAAGCTCGGTTGCAGAGTGGTGCCACAGTGCACTTGGTGCACGAGTATCTACGGGCCTGCCGGTGTTGGGTCAGTGGGCGCAGACAGCCGAAGCAGAACGCGCCCGGCTCGCCGATCCCTGGACCCACCGCTACGGCCTCCTCGCGGAAAATCAACTCCCCGGCCGCCAGGTCTTTGCTGGCCACCAAGTACCTATGACACGCGCGCCGTAGGATTTTCACGTTTTTGAGGGAGAAAGATTAATCAGCATCGGTTGGAAGGAGATTTTTGTGAATCGTTTAATTGCAGGAATAAAAAAAATTGCTCTCACACGCATATTGGAATATTGATCTCAATAATCGATCACAGCACGTAGGTAATAATACTGTGTGTATAGTTAATTCAAATTGGACAAGAAAATTAAAATTTTTTTTTAATCGTAAACTTTAGCACTTTCGATTACATTTTGGGGTACACCTACGTGTCACTCTCTCGATCATATTGCCGCAAATTGGTAGGTAACTATACAAATACATACCTTCCCAATTTATCCGACTTCATGACTTTGTACTTTTTGACGGCACAAGGAGCAATTGCGGATTTTTTATCCATGACGTGGACGACGATATTCGACAGTGATACGCGACGATAAGACGAAAACGCTCGATGGACCGCGAGAGGCTTGTGCCCCCCTTATGCAACAAGCCGAGCGGGAAAACTAACATAAGGACCACCTCGTTTGAGAGGAGGCGCGTGCCGGTTTCCACTTCGTTTTTTTTCCCACTCTCTCTCTCTCTCTCTCTCTTTGACCAACTCGTAAACGGTAGGTGTATATTATTAGATCGGCGTATTACATGCACGCTGCACCTCGACCACAACAGCTGCGCAAAGTTCAAACAGCCATGTACAGAGTGCAGTGACCATACGGGGCGAACTATTTTGGAAGATTTTCTCTTTTCCTCGAATGATTAACGAGAGCGCGCTTGCGTTCACATGGAAATTAGTATGCCTATTGGGTGTACTTTTTACACGAATAAAAAAAAACTCGCTGTTTCGTATATACTCAACGTTTATTCGGATATGCGTGGTGTGTATATATATAATTTCATATGTACAAAAAAAAAAAAAAAAAAAAAAAAAGGTAAACGGTTAAACTCTACAGCTCGCCGATGCTCTTGTCGAGTTGTTCGAGCGCCTGCCTGGCCCCGGCGGCGATGTCGGCTTCCGGAGTGCCCTGGGGCTCGCGAGCCAAAATATCCGCAGCCTCTTTGAGCAGGGACGCCGCCTCGGTCATTTTCGCTGTAAAGCAAATACACAGATTTTATGTATAATGGTTATTGTAACGATGTACAGCTGTCCGGTAATATATGTATGGTTGGCGCGTGGGAATGATATTACTTTTGAGTTTGGCCGCGTCGATGACCCCGGCGTTCCACTGGCCTTTGGCCAGAAAGAGCAGCGGGGCGTGGAGCTCGTACAGGATCATGCCGCGCGAGCGCGTCAGGCCCGGCTCGACGACGTCCAGCACCTGGAGAAGCAGCCGGCACATCTCGGCCTTGTGCTCCAGCACCACGTCCGGCATGTCGTCCAAGAAGTAATCCTCCACCCGGCCGTACAACTGGCTCAGGCTGTACCTGTACACACGTATATTAATACAACGGCATATATTTGCAGTCGTGTGTGTCGTCATATAAATAATACATGTACCAAATGAAAAAATGCGTACCTCGGTATGGTGAGCATGGCGTGCCGGGGATGGAAGACCGAGCGGTACTTCTTCATGTAGTTCTCGCGGGTCTGGATGGCCTCTGGACCGTCGGCCGCCGTGTACGCCTCCACCCGGTCCATCTCGGCTTGGATGATCTTGAGGATCTTGAGCACCGCCTGGGCCGTCGTGCTGAACTCGCAGTGGGTACACTTCCACGTGCTTTCGGCGTCTGAGGAGCATATTTTCACCGTTTTATATCCGCATCATCGTTACGTATATACGCGTGCAACATTTACCGAGGGAGTCGAGGGCCACGACTACGCCGTTGTCGCACTTTTGGCACTTGAGGGAGGACATGTGGGTCCCGAGCTCCGTTGGGTCCGAGCACCGGGTGCACGCGCAGGTGAAGTACTTGCTCTCTTGGAGGTACTCGCGACGCAGCAGGGTCGGCAGCAGAGCGTGCGTGTAGCTGCCCAACAGCTCACCACCCGCTGGTACTTTTACCGCCGTTCTCAAGTACACCCTCAAGGTATATATGTATATATTTGGTTGTTTTTGCTTTCATAAGTCAAAATATATAGTTACACACACGTGTAATCAATCTTTTGTACTCAATTTTTAGATACAATGTATCTTTGCAACAGCTGTTGTTGTTTTGTATAAAACAACTGAATATTCACGTAGGAAAAAGAGTGGTACCATGTCATTTGATCGCATATATAAATGTGTACCTGAAATCGTTGGGTACGATACTGTGAACGGTGTTGGAGACGCACGAGTGGCTCATGATGGAGACCTTGGGGTAGAGGGCACGTGCGAGGAAGCCCCTGGCCGTGCGTACCTCGTGGGCGTTGATCTCCAAAATCCCGCAAGCGGTCTGGACGCTGTCCTCGGGGAACCTGTCCAACTTGCACCGGGTCCTCAGGTACTCGGCAATGTTCACCCGGTCCGAGTTCCACTGGGCCGTCTGGCTCCTCCGCTTGTCGTGGGCCGCCATGTCCTTGACCTCCCGGTTCCAACGGTCCCCGTCCCGCTCCGAGGCGAGCAACAGACGCAGTGGTGTCACGCACTCGAGTTGCGGCACGCCGTTTGCCTGCTCGTCGGACAGAGCCAACTCCACGTTGAACTTTTCCTTCGCCTCGGCGAATACCTGTATTTTTTTCAAACTTCATTTATATATATATATAGTTCATCGAGCAATCCACACGCAAATTAACGAAATATGGTGGCACGCGCCTCAACTTTAACACATAAATAATACTTATGTTGTATAGTGAAATGATTGTAAAAACGTTGCGGCAATTTACACGCGCAAAACAGTTGCATCTCTCGGAATTCGAAATAGCGAAAATTTTCCAATTTGCACAAAACTGACCGAAATTTTTCATTGGCGAAATAGTGATGATTTTGGATCGTTATAGCTTTTAGTTATTCTAAATATTTTAACCAGTAATTTAATGAACGATCTACTTGGTAATTGTACAACCCATGAACATTAATTTCGAGTGGTACCAACAATAACCCAATAACCAACTATCTTAAATGTTAGCTTTGTACAGAAACAGTGAAAATTCACTAGTTCAAACAAGTTATAAGTATAAAATTTGTAAAACCGACCGTTAAAACAATGTATTCGGATCGTTGTGTCCACTCATGTATCGCTATACCGTTTCAAATTGAGCGAGTGAAAAAAAAAAAAAAAAAAAAAAAGGACCTTGCACTCGTAATCCCTGTGTTGGGGCTGGTCGGCGCACTCGTCGCCACAGACGGGCCAGCCGCACCTGGGACACAAGGGCTTGTTGTCATCGTCCTCGGTAGGCGGCCACGGGGTGTAACAGGTCAGACAGAGCGGGTACGTCGAGGCCTTGGGTCCCACGACGAAGGGCAGCTCGGTCAATATTTCCGCGCCCGGCTCGAGGTCCCTGCCGGCCACCAGGTACCGGCCCACTTGGTCGTTGCACTGGATCTTGTAGCTCGCCTCGTCGTCCTGTGGGGAAGCAGAACAAAGTTTGGCCCACTTCACTTTTTTTTTTTCATCTTCCCACCCTGGAACCGACACGATCGACACACCGACAACTTTCACGCACTATGTATACATCCACAGTACAGCCCAGCGCGCGTCCAGCGGGGGAAAACCACATAAGCAATTAGCAGAGTTAACGACCTACGTTTAACACGCAAACGTGGGCGCGACACCGCAAACTTACCAGCTTCGATTCCGACATAACGGCTGCAGTTGGAAGTCGATATTCTACAATGTAAGGTATATATGTATATATGTAAGTATACACGCGTATACGATAAACAATGCAACGAATGTATATAATATTGCACGACGAATCTGCACTTTGACGCTCGTTAGCGTGCACTAAGTCCGGCCGTTGCTCGTCGTTGCCTTTTTATATCGGCGTTATCGCCAACGAAAATAGACGGGCCGCTTGGACCGGTAAGTATAGAAGTAGCCGATGTGTATACCTATAATATATAGGTACCGGTCGTTCGTGTAGTACACGCACTTTGCCAAACGGTACATTATTATGTAAAATCTAGATTGTGCTCGTAACTTTCCGTGCCTGTCTGTGTATATGTTTTGAGCTAAAAAATATATACACATGTATATTTATGTTGTTGTAAATGCACAATATGTCCATCGGTAGGGTGTCCGATTGTATATTTTTGGCCATGAGCCCGAGAGGTTTACATCCAGGGGTATTATGTATGTGGAATGTATTGACGATCTAGAAGAGCGTAGAACTTTGACGGGCTGTTCTATATGATGGTATACGATAACCAATCAACTGTGCAATTATTATGTACCAACCGGTACATAATTTTTTATTCGGGTCTATTTTTGCGTACTTAGACAGAAATTACTCACCAAAATGAAAATTAATTTGAATACATCAATCGAGACCAGTAAACTATTTTGGACACCTTTGGACATTTGTTGTTAATTACATGCGGCCCAGGTGTTCGCAATGCGAATAAAAGGTCTCTCGGAGCCAATAAAAACAATTCGCAAGTTTTTTTAAACCTACAGGTTTCAACGTGTACGTTGATACAACGCGTATATATTGCTTCATTCATAAAAATTAATTGTAAACGTGTATCATAGGCAGGACTATACAAATACACCAATCGATCGATTCTACATTTACCGATTTTCCATGGCGCTTTCTTTTGAAAATTAGAGGACAAAATGCCCTGAGTCATACATCTCGCAACTAATACACTTTTTGGTTTAAAAAAGATGCGCGAACCGAACATTACGGTGTGCTACTAATTTACTGTCGTGATCAAACTAAAGAAATGTCAAACAATAAAATAAAATCGTCTTTTTTCTACCAGGCGTCTATCTCCCCATTTTTCTTTTCACACTCGTCCAGATATAACGATTTTTTGTTTATTCTCTCTATCGCCGATCGAACCCAGCCGAGCCCTATCTCCCTTTTGTTTATAAATTAAGCATACACCTACGCAAATAAAATTATTCGATGCGCGCGCACTGTACAGAGAAGAATGTAGAGCAAAAAAAAAAAAAAAAAAAATAACTCCGATTCGCCTGCCCTCCTGATGCGCCGCAGCGTCCACCGTTTGAACACTCGCGCGCAGGGTATCAAACAGTTTCACGGAGAAAGCCATCACTGCCGGACATCGTCATCTGCAGCGCGCCCGCCAGGCTCTGTCTGTGTCTTTCTTCCGCCAGTATAATATCCACCTAAATCTTTGCCGTAAGTACACGTAAACCTACATACTTCTTATCATCACGATTTGTTCGAATGATCGTCAATCTTATCACTTTCGTTCAAGAGGATTCTTAGCAAGAGTCCAGGTGTACCTACGAGGCTAGGGGCTAGGAGGGTTTACTTTGGTGTGAACCGTTTGCCGGCACGCATGCACACACACGTTTACTATATATATACTGTAGCAAAAGTATGTCGTCTGCCTTATCAGTCCTCCCCCACGTTCTCGCAATGAATAAACCCCCTCGATGGATTGATACGTAAGCTCCAATTTTTATTGTTCCTTCCAATGATGGAACGGGCTTTTCGTCAATCGTCTGTGTTGAGCGAGAAAAAAAGGGGAGCTTTGTAGGTTAGGCTCCCCCGTGAAATTGATAAGTGCACGTCTTATGTAACAACACTTTTGGGCAGGTCAATGCGTGTATAACGCGCCTCGTTCACCTCCTTTCATCACCTTGTTTTTCCTACTCCAAAACTTATTTTGCTCCGTTTGTCGCTGGTATACATTTGCTTCCATTTTTTTTCTCTCGTTGCGTCATCAATAACACATTATGAATATACTTGTTGTTATGGTGCGGGACAACAGTACTTATTAGGTAAAAAATATCTAGAGGGTGGGTGTCCAAAAACAACATATATGTATACGCGCACACCCCTCGAGCCTCAAGGTTAGTCGATCTACGGTTTACTTGAATATACGTACATATGCATCAGCAGATCTTTAAGGTGGAGGGTGGAGGTGCGCGACGAAAAAGAGAGGGTGGGTGATCGATTTGTTCGAACGAGAAGCTCACTCCGCGCTGTGTTTTGTGTACTGCGTATAAGTATAATACTTGTATACACCCTATGATATACAATCGGGTCAGGCTCTCCTTCGTCGCGTTTGAAGCGTAATCCATTGGAGCATTAAAACATCTATAAGTACGTCTCGATTCTTTTGGAGCACTCGCACTACGGACTTCTTATTCATCCCCCTTGTCGCTCATTTTTTCTAACGAATAGGTATAGTTCAGTAGGTCATTTTTTTTCTTTTTCAAATCACGTGTCTATCGATTTAATGTCTTCGACGTTGCGCGCGAGGGGTACTTTTGATTTAATTGACTTTGATGAACAAGGAGATTGAGCGAACGTTTTTAATTAACGGCGGTGCTGGTGCGCGCTCCGTGTGCTGTGGTGACTATGAAATAATTTGAGCAATAGTCGCGCGAATTGATAACACTTTTCTGTCATTTTTGTTGTGTAATACCTGTTTGGAGATTGAACTCTTAAGGCTTTCCTCTCTCTCCCTCTCCTCACGTCTTTTTGAGAGGTGCTTAAAGAAAATATTTTAGATCATAATTTTTTTTTTTTTTTTTTTTTTTTTTTTTTTTTAGAAAATGTCTCCTCCTACGTATGGTGATCTTGGAAAGAATGCCCGCGATGTCTTCAGCAAGGGATACCACTTTGGTCTCTTGAAACTCGACGTCAAGACCAAGACAGACTCTGGAGTTGAATTTGCATCCGGTGGTGTGTCCAACCAAGACACGGGCAAGGTCTTTGGTACTCTTGAGAGCAAGTACAAAATCAAAGAGTATGGCCTTACTTTTGTTGAAAAATGGAATACAGACAATACCCTTGGAGCTGACATTACTCTTGCTGATAAGCCCATCCAAGGTCTCACTATTGGTTACAGTTCCACTTTCTCTCCCCAGACTGGGTAGGTAAAAACTCTCAGAGAGCGATTCTTACGTTCTCACTTACAGTGGCAAATATCTCTTATTTTCTAGTAAAGATTGTGTGACTTTTTAAATGTAGAAAATAATACAAACTTTTTTTGGTATCTTGCCTAGTCTTTTTTTACGTTAATTGGTTGATGATAACATAATTAAGCCACATGATAACTCTTATCAATAAAGTTGTAAATATTATTTTTTATCTTTGAAATAGAATTATTTTCTATTTTTGAAGTCGTTCGGTGAACTTTTACTATCATAATGATAATTTAATATTTTTTACGTTATGATAACTGTTAAAGTGTAATCACTGTCTGATCAATGTATTTGGCGAGATTATGTAACTATGACATTTCGTTCTAAGACTGTTGTGATAAATAATGTATTTTTTTGTGTACAGAAACAAAACTGGAAAACTCAAAACTACATACAAACACGATATTATTGCTGCTACTGCAGATTTTGATCTCAGCCTCTCGGCTGGTCCCCTAATCAATGCCACAGCTGTTGTTGGATACCAGGGTATGCCTAAATCTTAAGAATTTAATATCGATTCAATGAATTAGATGTGTAAATTTTGTTCATTTTTATTGTTTTTTTTAGGCTGGCTCGCTGGTTATCAAGCTGGCTTTGATACTCAGACCAGCAAAGTTACAAAGAATAATTTTTCACTTGGATTCAATGCTTCTGATTTCCACCTCCACACATCTGTGTAAGTAAGAAACTTGAAAAAAATGTTGGAAGGTAATTTGCATTAATTTGATTGAAAATTTTTCATTCAGCGACAATGGTCGTGAATTTGGAGGATCAATCCACCACAAGATCAAGTCAGATCTAGAGGGTGCCATCAATCTTGCTTGGAACTCCAGCAACAATGTCACGCAATTCGGACTTGGTACTAAATACGATCTTGACAACGATGTTAGCGTAAGGGCCAAGATCAACTCTCAACTTCAAATTGGTTTGGGATACCAACAGAAGTTGCACAAAGGTTGGTAAACCATTTTTCATTGTTTAAATGTTCAAAAATTTCATTTTTACCGAAAGTTATGTAATTTGTCCGAAAACGTAAGGAATTTTAGAGTTGTAAGCAAACAGTCTATAGTTTGTTATTTATAGTAAGTCATGTGTAGGGCTATTATTAGATTCAACCTACGGTGCATTAGAAGCACTTACAATACTTGCAGACAGAATCGCACTCTCTGCTTTCTCCTCGTAATATTTATGAGATATTATTTTAACCGGTCTATATAAAATATATAAAATATTTTTAGTAATGTTTGTTAAAAATTTTTCAGGAGTAACTCTGACTCTTTCTGCCAATGTTGACGGCAAGAACTTTGGATCTGGTGGTCACAAGGTCGGTTTTGCTCTGGATTTGGAGGCTTAAACGTTACGATCAAACTGAATCCTGTCCCTTGAAAGAAAACAACTTCTTCATTTCACTTGCGTCATAATGGTCATGTCACGGTTACATGCTTCAGACTGGTCAATGCCTGTAATGTAATTTAGATTGACGAACCTTCAATAGGGCTGTCAGAATTAACTCATATTGTTGTTTGTGAGACAACTTTGTCATTTGTTTAAAAGTCTGCAGGAATAAGATTGTATGAAAATAACTTTGAAACAAAGTTAGGTAAATAAGTTATATCGAATTAGGATTTAAAGAAAAAAATGTCTGTAATGCGTGGCTGTAAAAATGTCAAGATTGTTGAACTTTGAAACATCAAATTTATCTACCTTCAACATAAGTTTAGTATCAACACTGTTGGAACTAGTAAAGAAACGGTATGGGCTATCTATAGAGAACAAAAAAGAAAGTTGAACAGGAAAATTCAATTTTTAAGTACGTCTTAATTTACACATTTTTTGATTTTTTATGTAAGTTTCTTATGTAGGTCTTTAATTTTTATAGTTACTTCTGTAAAATATCGATTGCACTTTATGCTATACAATACATTTAGTTTTCCAAAAATTCTGTCAATAAAGGAAATCACAAATATTAAAACTTTTTGAGTAGTGATTTATTTACAAAATGGTCTTTCTGTTCCAAGAGTTTTCTTTGTTTTAACCTTAGTTTTACAGTACAAATATTGTATACACATTAAAAATTTACTTTTTTTTTTTTTTTCATCATGGTGGTATGTACTACACTTGGAGGCATCATGCATTAAGTCTTGAAAACGAACAATCAACCACCTCAGCAAAAAAAAAAAAAACTTAGTTCAAGAGAACTTAATGTACCATCTGATCATCCATAGCTTGTGCATCTATCCACTCAGGTTCCACTTGAGCAATTTTTTCAATAATTTGGTTCACTTGATAACAGATCGACTGAATATGCTTATCCCACGTAGGCAAACTTTCTCGTGCTATGGGAAAAAAACAAACCATGTTACTTTTATGAAAAAACATTACAACTACAGAAAAAACTTTATAAAATTTATACTCACTTTCAAAATGAACAATAGAATCAATCTGATCAATAGATCCATTCATTCTTCCTTCAGTTATCATTTGACTGGCAATTTTTTCAGCTTTGCCGGGAGGGATTTCCAAAAGCGAGCCCAGCTCCTCAAACGTAATATTATTATACAGCTTGCTGGCTGATAACAAATTGTGCTCAATAACAGCGCGATCTAGAATAGTTCCAAGCCCATCTGGGGTTTTGGCTTTCTGATGTGGCTGTAAAAGAGACTCAAATTCTTCAAGCTCTGTACGGCGAATAATACGATCTAGGTACATCTTTTCTAAAATAGAGTAAGCCGGCAGCTGCTGACACCGTTCATCTTTGAATAACGTGGCCAACATGCGACTTCTCTGCTGACCAGCTGAAGCTAGTACTGTACACATCAGAGCATTTCTCAGTGCAGTCATACGCTCATCTTCGTGGATAATAGTTCTGTAAGACAGTTCATTGTATCTTTGAGCTGCTTCAATAAACTTTCTTCTGTAATCCAGTACTCTTGCGTAGCATACTTTGTAATAAATTTGTAGCTGTTCATTCTTTGATTCTGCCTGTAAAGAAAAAAAAAAATTGGTCACTTAATAGCTGCACAATAATATGTCATTAAAAAAACAAAGCATGTCAAAAACATACTTGTAATAAAGAAGCTCTGTTAATGAATGACTCTGCCTGAACAGAGTCGTCATCTTCCAAGTAAAGTCTTGCAATTTTGAGATATGTGTCTAGCTTATAGTCCACCGAGTACTGTCTATGAAAATGGATACAAAGTTTATGTATGTGCGATTTGAAGAAATCACTTCAATAAAATAAGACCACTTACTTTTGCCCAGTTTCCAGGGGTATACCAACAAGAACAGCAGCAGCCATTCGCCATTCCATATTACGCTCATAAATATCTGCCAAGTGTTGCCTAATACTGGCAACTTGTTCTTCAAACGAAATTACCCTAGGTTGAACCTGGAAATACATAAGTTCAACATTACAACCTAATTCTTGAACTACTTAAACAAGTATTTAGTGTATCAGCAACAAAAGAAACCAAAAGCAAACCTTATCTAATGTGTAATGGGATACTGCTTTGGAAATTTCATCAGGTAGATTTTGCAGTCGATTGCTGACATCGGTCAACACTTGCCTGGATATGACTAAACTGACGTTCTCGTTGACGACTGCAAGGTAATTGGTAATCGTAAGGTTAGAAAACCATCTCATCATCCCAAATGCAAGGAACAACGACAATAATTATACGTACTGGCTTCGATGAAGATTTTAAGAGCCTCAGTAAGCTCGTCGCCGGCTGTCGTCGAGAGGATCGAGTCCAGCAACGCCCGGTACCTGCGATAAATGGGATAATTTAACTAACGATTATCTGTAAAAGTTGATGTGCAACAAACGATGGGAAAAAATGATCCAAAACACCAACTTTTCGGCCTGATCCTTGTGGGAGCCGCCCGAGTGGGCCAAATTAGCGAGTTGTTGTTTGTACGTCGAGGCCATGCTCTCGTTCCTGATCCTATGTGCACTCCGGGATTTTTCCTTCTTTCTTAACGAGTAGAACTTTTTCTCATTCACGGAGTTTTTCTGTTTCACTCTTATTTTTTATCGAAATCTATCATCGAAAAACAGCCACAAAATACAACCTTTAAAACTAACTTTTCAACTTGGTTAAGAACGAAGCAAAAGCATTTGTAATCACACAATCACAAATGACACCAATGCGCATGCATCTACCTATAGGTATATATGCAGCAATACAATACATACAGATATACGATCATGCTGTAGTACAGTTGTACACTTGTACAGTGTCAGTACTAATGTATATATATATACAGTTCCTACGATGAGACATATCTGGGATCAGTGACAAAAAAACACACGTCGGACTGTTCGGGACTGAATGAAATTTTTTTAAATTATTTGCATTGCGTGAAATTCTTATTTACATTCTGTGGAATCACTAACTAGAGCCACTATATATCCTTTTTCTGAATCGATATTCTATCACAATGGAAAGTGCTTTTAATGTGCGACTGAAATAACTACCTACTCTTCGCAATTTCTGGGACACTCTTTCTCTACAGATAAATAATTTTCAAATGCCTTTTGGAGTCGTAGAGTCAGGGCATAACCTACGTGCTTTCTGAACATTATACTTACGTGTGACGGACGAGTGAGTACTGAGTAAAGTGTAAATATTTCATAGCTTTGTTTGTACATTTTGATTCTTGATCCATGATTCATAATTTCATGTATAAGTACTTAAGTACCATGAAAACTTAACATGACAAATCCAATTACTTACCTAAAATTGTACTTAGTTCCAATTGAAAAAAAAAAGTAGTGTGGCGGACGTGTCGTGGTCCGCGGGAAAAGAGCAAAAGAGACAGAAAGAGTTGACAGCAGCGCCGACGCAGCCATGGCGGTCGGCTCGTTAAACATGGCGAAATCGAAAATCGCAAAGTGCGCGAAAAACCGTTCGGAAAAGTTAACCGTGCCGTAAACCCACTGTGTCCTTGAGGCTTTAACTGGGTCAGCTGGCTTCATTTTCGTCGGAGAGTTTCGGAAGGTCATACATCTATACTATTTGAAAGACCGTACCGTTGTAGACGTCTGCTCTGCTTTCCTATTATACAAGTTTTGTTTGAGAGAGAGAGAGAGAGAGAGAAAGCAGACATCACATTGGGAAATATGGTGGGCGCGTGATTTTAAACAAAATATTCCATTCGAACAGTCGCAACTGCCGGGGTAAGTGAAACATCTTTGATCGTCTCTGGTGTAGGTGTTTTACGTGTACAAAACGACGTTTTCCGAGTCAAGTAAGTTGAGGTTTTGCCTTGACTTTGGACGAAAGGTATCACTTGACATATACACATTTCGAGTCGAACTCGCGCGACGCCCCCACCCCGCCCCAAATTATAGGAGCTCTCTCTCGCGCTGCCAGAAACTCCGTTCGCGTTCCGCTGGCAGTAGTTTCGTCTTGCTTTCTCTTATACGTGTCTCTTTCGCGTAACTTTCGAATTTCTAGGTTAACTCCGACAACTCGGGACTCCTTATTCTTTTATCAGTTAAATATTCGCCCTCAGCGAGTAATACTTAGTCGCGTTCTGTTGACAAAACTGAGCAATTTCGAGCATTTAACGGAAAAGTGCGGCCGAAAAATATCTGAAAATTCAATTTCAAGTTTTCGTCGTCCAGGGAAAATGGCGCGTTCGGGACAGCAGCAGCAATGGCGCTAATGTTCCTGCTCTTGTCTTCTTTCTGCGGTGCGCTTCCAAATATGTTTACCCGATTTTTATTTTTATCGAGCTTTCCTATCGCGACCTCCTTGCGAAATCGCCTCCCCCGCGACTCTGATTCTCTCCGAGTTTGTTGTTCGCTAGAGCGCTGCTGTGGGAGCCCAGCTCGGGCAGCTTGAACGCTCTCGGGCCGAGTCGAGTTTGAATTTTTGAATTTTTAAATCCGAGACAGCTTCGTGCACTTTTCTTTCGTCCAGCAGAGTACGGTTGTCTCTGACTTTTTGAATTGTTGTTCGCGTTTTTCACGAAAGAGCGGCTGCGAAGCGATTTCGCCAGTAAGGTTCGAATTTTCAGCTGTGACAGTTGTTATTTTAGACTTAGAGCTTGGATTGTCGATTCACCTAGATTATCTATATCACTTACTTAAGCAGTTATAGATAGATGTGTACAAAACCAAAATCTCTTATCATTACTGTACATAATCGTTATCTTTTTTTTTTAGGTCACAGTTACAGATAGATATTCAAAATGTCTATGACTGAAAGCCAGGTTGAGGAAGTGATGTCCTCCCAAGAGATTGAAGACACAGACCTCACCACTTTGGCTTTAACGCATGGAGCTGAGCAATATGGCTCGAGTGACTACGAAACTCTGGCAAACATAGAAGCTGAGTTGGAAAGTATGCACGCAGAGGAAGTTGTTACGACAGAGTCAGAAGAACAATCGGCTGTAGAGCCTTCAGTCGAGAGTATTTTACCAGACATTGAAATGGCTGAGGTTGAAAAAGAGCCACCAACCAAACAAATTATCTATACTACTGCTAGTAGTCTAGCTAATCCAAATACACCAAGCTTATTTCTACAAACAAAACCAACTCTTCAGAGAGTGAGCCCTGTTAGTACTGCTAGTACTACTACTACAATCCCAGTGAGTATCAATTGAAATTTTGTATCTTTACATTAGTAAAATTTTATAGATGAAACTGTTCACTGAATTCATTTGAATAGTAAGGAGTTAGTAAAATTCGCGTTTTTTCATAGATAAAACCAAATATTGGTCAAACCAATCAACAAAGTCAATCTATAATGATTGTTACTCCAGCCGTGGGTGGAGGTGGGAGTCAAATTTTAAAAATATCACATCCAGCTTCTGCTTCTCCATCTCAGTTACAATCAATAGCTCAGAGCTTAATACAAGGAAAGTCAACTGATGGAAGTATTATACAAATCAGACCACCAGGAACGAAAACAAATATCGTTGCAAAAACATCGGGAAACATTGCAACAGGACACTCTCAGAGCGTTAAAACTGTGCAATCAGGAAAGCGGAATCAACAAAATGTTCAACAAAACAAAAATGTAAGTCGTTACACTATCAGCTACCATAAAATCAAACTTTGTATTTAATTATTTCCCCAAAACAGGTATATACAACCAAAATGTATGTGACAAATACTCAACCGCAAAATGCACAGCAACTCTTAATTGCTTCTTCGCCAACTGATAGTCAACAAGGAGAAACTCTTAAATTTCTGAGTAGTAATTCAAATCTAAATGTGCAAAATAGTCCTACCAAAACCATTACTCTAGCGCAAGCCCAACAAATGGGCCTCTTACCGGCTGGCAAAGTACAACAAATTTTGCCTTCCACGCAAAAACAAACTGTAGTTAATTTTTCTTTCAATGAAATTTTTCTTTTTTCATAAATTTTAATGGAAATTCATTTTTAGGGAATACTTGTTAATAAGTTGGTCCAATCTACTACTGCTCAACCGGCAAAATTTATTATTTCCAACAGCACTACCAAATCTCCTGCAAAGATTTTACCAGCTCCAAGTACGTCAGGACACTCCAAATTAAGTTTCAACAAGACATTGCAACAAAATTCGCAAAAAGTTATAATCAAACAGGTATACGTGAATAAATTTATTTCAATGTCTATTTAACGATTAAATTAAACGTTTGACAATTCCTCAGAATTCCTTAAAGCAAGGAGTAGTCCCGAACAGCAATTCAATCATAAGGATACCAGCAAATCAAGCATTGAATTCTAATCAGGTGTATCAGTTGCAAGTACCTGGTGAACAGGTATAAACTTTTTCAATAATTTGTCTGAAATTTCTTTAAGAAAAATGTTCACTACTTTTATTTTATCATTCATAGGTGCAGTACGTTCGATTAGTAAGTACACCGACTACAGGAACAAGTAACGTTGTAACAGTCGGCAAAACGAAAATTACGGCTGCTGTACCAACAATTTCGCATAAAGCTAGTGGTCAGCAACCGCAACAAATCGTCAAAGTTCGTTATTTGTACATATATATGATGTACTTCTTGGAAAATTGAGTCTACTGTCTACGATAATCTTTCAATTATATATAACTATTATATCCACTCTAGGTTGTTCCACTGAATACTAGTAGCAATCAAACAACTCTGAGAACCGTAGCACCAAAAACGTCAGTGTCAAATACTACTCAGAGAATATTAATTCCAGCAACTACGAGTGTAGGAACTGGATCATCAAAAACCACACTTACTCTTCCAGCTTCTGCTTTGAGTCAAATTGCAACTGGACAAGCCGTAATATCAACAAATGCCAATGTTGGCAATATAGTAGTTTTGCCAGCTCAGTATCTTCAGCAAGTAAGCTAAGAAACATTTATTTTCAACGTAGTAAAATTTCCTAATACTCATTACTATTTTTTTTTTTAATTTAAATATAGACGGAAGAGGTCAAAACTAAGCCTCAATCCAATACTCCAACGTTATTGAATACATCTCATGGGTCACAAAGTTCTATTCTAGCAAATTCTTCAACGATTTCGTTATCCGATTCCAAGCCATCAAAATTGTTAAATAACTCCGACGCAAATGGTGGTATCAGACCGCGTAAGCCGTGCAATTGTACAAAGTCGCAGTGTTTAAAATTGTGAGTAAAAAATGAATCAGTCCCTTTTTTTTTTTTTTTCAACTAAAATAAGTTAAAAAGAGTGGGTTTTTTATAATGAAAATTCGAATTCAGTCGGTACTCGATCTTCATTTGTTTTATCGTTCCACTGCGAAAAAAATGACTATCGCAAAATCTTCCATTACATACAGAGAATCACAGAACGTTTATTCTACAACGTTGTGTTCTATTAGAAATCTCATTGAATACCAACAAGTCCGTTAGTTATAAACTTTTTTTATAATGTATGCCTGCAGATATTGCGACTGCTTCGCTAATGGTGAGTTTTGTCACATGTGTAATTGCAATAACTGTTCTAATAACCTCGGAAACGAGGAAGAACGACAGCGAGCCATCAAGTCATGCTTGGAACGCAATCCCAACGCATTCCGTCCGAAAATCGGAAAAGGCCGTGATACAGGCGAAGACATCAGAAGACACAACAAAGGTTGCAATTGCAAACGCAGCGGCTGTTTGAAGAATTATTGCGAGTGTTACGAGGTAAATTGATACTTTTGCAAATGGTAGGACTGTCTTTGAGGAGAAAAATAGAGTCTAAGATTGTATGAACGTTTGTTTGAAGGCTAAGATCCCGTGTTCTGAAAATTGTAAATGTATCGGTTGTCGAAATGTGGAAGAACCAGCGGTTCACAAAAAATCTTTGAAAGATTTGGCTGAAGCTGCCGAGGTCAGGACTGCACAATTGACTTCTTTCAATAAAACTAAGTTACTGCAAATTCCTGATACAACCTTTAGGCCTGCTGCTGCTTCAAATGCTGGTGCAAGGTGTCTATACAAACGAATTTTCAATTTCTTCTCGCCTCAAAATGTTGAGTGTAATTTTGCAATTGTTCTTTTAGACAACCATTTAATTTTTTGACTGACAAAGTCGTAGAAATGACTTGCCAATGTCTGATGGCTCAGGCTGAGGAGGCCGAGAGAAATATGTGCGATGACGAAGTATCGCAAAAATTGATCATTGAAGAATTTGGACGATGTTTAAAAGAGATCATCGAGTCTGCACACAAAGCTGAGGCTACTTAGCAAAACAACCCTACGAAATATAACAATGTTAATTCACTTCAATGTTTTTCATAGCTTATCAAATGTTTTAAAATATTTTCTATGCAAATACTTGAATATTATACAGTAAATGTGATAAGGTATGTGATCCAGTAAATATTATACAGTATATGGATCAATCACATACTTGAATGACGTTTTTGGTGATCTTTAAAGTACTGTATGATATACAGTCACCCTACTGACTCTGTTGTTGATAAGATGTATTTTTCATCATATTTATACATTTTAAGGTGTATAGTTCGAAGTGATTTTAGGTTTCAGGAAATAAATTGTACAAATTGAAAATCTTTTAAATAAATACCTAGTATTTCAAAATTCTTTCACTTAGTATTTTACACATAACGTTTTTGACCATTGAAATGAATTAACTTATTTGTATAGTCATAAAATAGTCTTCAGAAGATACTATTTTATCAGACAAAAAGTAGCAGTCTGATTCTAAATTGTATAATATTGTAAAATGCAATATGTATAAAGACATGTTACTATTTTAGAGTGTAATTTTAAGTCATTCAGTGTAAGTATAAAAACTATATCGGAAAAATTGTACAATAAATATAGTTTTTTGAAAGTAAATTGATGTTAAAAAAATTTAATTAGCTATGAATGAAAGTTTTTAAAAATTATTGCATTTGTATCAAATACAAATATTTAACAGATATGTACACTTTATTTACAGTTGAGTAAGTTTAAGTGAATAAATTTAATTGACAAGGTATGAAGTGATTCGATTGGTTCACAGAAAGTAGGTAGTCTGGCAATGTAGAAATATGTATTAGAATGAGAAAAAATTGTAGACATCAAATTGTATTGTAATGAAAAATCGCTTAGTTTTGAGCTGTAAATTTTTTATCATAAAGTTCATATTTGTCCTCAATTTGGAGGTTCTGTAACCGTTTAAGATAAATATAAATAACAATCATTTATTTGTTTAGGTAAAACTTGCACTGCTTGCTGTTAGTTTAAATGAGTAACGTTACTCCGTCAAGTAATTAAAAAAAGCACTTCATTTACATAACATCTATAGAGAAATTTTTAATTTTTAGAATGATATAAAAATCATCTGATACATGCAACTTAGTTTATTTGTAATGAAAAATTTGTTTAATTCGCTGTTCATTGTGTTCAATTCATTGTAGCACAAAGTTTTCAAATGTATGATATGTTTAATAAATTTCGTGCTTTTGAAAAAGTGTCTCGTTGTTTATTAAAAGAAAAAGAACTGGTTGATATTAGGTAGTTTATTCGATTACTGTACAAACATTACAAACATGTTAAAATTTTACAATCTTTTTCATAGGCTTGACATCTGGCTTACTTATAACGGTGTCGACGTCAAGAGACTCCAAATGGTCATCCTTAATAAGATCTAATTTAATACTATTATCTTCTTTTTTCTCATTCAAATCTGGACAATCTTTTTTCAAATGTGTAACATCGCCACATACGTTACAACAGCCTCCATCAGGGTACAATCCTTTTGGGTTGTCAGGACACTGTTTTGCAATGTGGCCCTGTTCTCTGCAAATAAAGCATTTGGCAAACCTGTAGTCATCAGACTTGGTGACTTTGCATTCAAAGTGAGTGTGTTCCGTGGATCCACACTTGAAGCAAATTCCAGTGGCTTCTTCTTCTTTTCCAAGCTCCGGACAATCAGATAAGTTATGACCTGCTTTTCTGCAATGGAAGCAGACTTGCTTTCTGATGCGAGCCAGAGATTTTTCACATTTCCGCCTTTCCAATTTCATAGCTGTATCAATGTCAGGTTTAGGTATACCTAGAAATAAGTTGAATAAGTTAATATTTATGCAGATTTTATATTTTTTTGGAATTTTCAAGTTATTTTTATGAAGTTTTAACCTTTCAAAACCATTTGTTGCCGCAACTCCTTCAATCTTTCAGCATCTTCTCTCTTAACTGGAAAACCATCATATTTAACAATTTCTACATCCATTCCATTGATAGTTATTTTCACTGGGGATTCATCTGTCTTCTTGTGCTTATGCTCTCGATTGTCTTTCGGTTTGGCTTCTTTTTTTTGATATTTTTTAGGTACATTATTACCAAATCTTCTCCAGTTTTTAAAATCAAAATCTGATATCCATTCCCTTTTTGTAACTGAACTTTTGTTATTTGTTCTTTTTTTAGATTTCACTTTGTCATTAGATTTAACAGAACAGTCCCAATCATTCCCTTCAACATTAAACGATCCCGATTTTGCATTGCCATTTTCTTTAGTCTCCTCATTTTTTTGATTTTGCTTCTTTTGATTACGTTTTTGACGTTTACTGAGCTTACTACCATCCTTTAACGCTTCTTTCGTTTTTTCAAGTTCATTTACTGTGTTAACTCTAAGGTTTTGATCATTTTTAGGTAATTCTCCAATGGATTGCTCTCTTTTTCTTTTCTTCTTTTTAAGCTTAGATGGGCTTTCGTCATTGTCACTGGATTTTTCAATATTTTTCTGTGGATTTGGCTTCAACTCACCTTGTATGTCATCATTTGATAACTTTGGTGCTTTATTTTTTTTATTCTTAATTTTTTCTACTTTTTCAATGTTAGAAGTTGATGCATCCTCCACGTGAGCCATCTGTTTAACAACTTTTTTCATCTTTTTTTCTTGATTGGTAGGATTTTTTTCAACCTTACCATTTTTTAAGGAACTCTTATTTCTTGGTGCATCAAACTCTGCCCAATCAGTGTTGATATTTCCCAAAGATTCGGCATAATAGCGATCATCTTCCTTGAGCAACTGTTTGGCTGATTTTTTTTGATTCGTTTCACTTCCTTGCACTTTTTCCTTCGTCAGAGCTTCTTCCAGCTGTTGTTTTAATATGTGCCAAGGGGTTGATTCATCCGGTATCTTTCTATTTGATGATTTTGAGCCCTCAGCTCTTGCAAACCGTGTCATTTTTTTGCATGAACGCAAAAAATAAATGTATCTACAAATTAAAATCTGTTGATAAATTTTTCTTGTTATTTATGAAGCAGTATCCTAATGCACTATAAAAATAAGTAAATAATAAAGTAATCCATTACTACCTTGATTAAAACTGTAAAATCAAGCAAAGGATGTTAACAATAAACCACAAAAAATTTACAAAGTTATTCGAATTTCACAATTATGACAGTGCTGAGAGGAAAGCACTTGAAGCAACGTAACCTACAGCACTTGTAAGAACATGTGCTCTTCTTCCTACTCCTTTAAAAAAATTTCTGATTGGCTGTCTTCAGTTTATCCTTAAGGTTTATCCTCTCTCGAAGCTTTCAACTTTCGCCACGTGGACTCTTTTCACACTAGCTTTTGGCGCTAGCTGTGAAATAGTCTCCGCTTTATGTATTATCATCCAATGACCTAACACAACCGTGCCCGCGAAATATAAATTTCTATTTCTTATTTTGGTTTGTACAATTTTAGACAATTTGGATCAAAGTTTATGTGAAACGTGTTCTTTTATTTACCATCTACTGAATTTAATTTGTCCGCCTCTACAGAGTCCATTTTCACTAGTTACAATTGTAAATATTCACCAATTTTGACATTCCCGTGAATTTGGAAATTCACTTTCGAGATCTATTGAATGAAAAACTTTCAATTTTATAAGCTGGTAAATCGTCAAATTCATTATCCACTAAAGAAAAGGAGGAAAAAATTAAAACCACCGATAGGCACGTATTCAGTACTTATTAATAATGTTCAATTCTCTATATTTTTGCGTGTGTTTACACGTTAGTTAAATATATAGTTACAGAACACAAACTTGTACACACATACACGCACGTATTTCTTAATACTGTGTACAAAATATATATACCATAAAATTCATATATAAGAGGTGAATTTGAGACACTATACGTGCTTACAACGAAAATTAAATTACAGTGCTTTAGAAATATCTTACAGATTTTCCATGTACAGTCGTACAATGTGAACAAGTTTGAGAGACAACAATAATTGTTCTCCAGAGTGAGAAGAAAAAGAAAAAAAAAAGAAAAAAATTGTCTATCTCGAGCACTTGCAACCCAAGGAAACGCTACCACGACCCTCGGCCAGCTCCTCTTGGACGGTATCGGCGAGGGGCCGATTACGAGTCTCCGGCAGAGCACGACACGCCACACCCGCGCCCAGGACCAGTATGCCGCAGAACGTACTCGGACCCCACCAGACCACGTTACCCAAACTAACGACGCTGTACGGCGCGACGATACTGCCCACGTGCGCCATCGCCGAGCTCACTCCCAACGCCGAGTTTCTTGACACCTGCAACAAAGGTTTTCACATCATTTGGGTTATTGATTTTTTTGGTTTGTATTTCTTATCACGTCAAGTCTGAAATGTATTTTTACACAAGAAACAGATCTGGAGCGCTGGCTGTTTTTCTTTTTTTTCGGGCCATTTAGCATGCGCTGAGCGGTTTTTCAATAATTCGAGTTTAGAGAGCATAATTATTCACTCGCAAGGGGACAAAGAAAACGGTCCCCGTTAGATAGAACGTGCACAGCTACAATATAATTATTTACCGATAGGTATGCGCATAAGCCCGAATTGTACATAATTGCTCGTGTGCCATATATTTATGTATGATGACCACGTACGAAGGAAACGGACGTACCGTTGGAAAAAATTCCGACGTGTAGAGTATGATGACCCCGTAGGCGGCGGACAGAGCAAACCTGCTGACGAGAGTGGCAGCCACGATGACCGCGGTGTTGGATCGCGATATGCTGAGTATGGCCATGAGCAGGGCCCCCGAGAGAACGAAGAGCATCGAGCTTGCCTGTCTACGGCCCATCACTATCAATATCGGCGTCGGCACCAGATAAGCCGGTATCTCGGTTACGCCCTGCAATACCGCGAACAGGTAATAGTCCACCGCTATGTTATCGACGTTCAGAGCTACGGCAATATGTGTAATCACATCTTTTATTACAAATAAAAATATTCATGCAGAAATCAATTGTACTTATTTTGCGAAAAATAAAATAAAAAATGTATACCCAGGGCGTAGTACGTGAGGGAAGCCGTGAGCCACGTGAAACAGGTTATGAACATGCGTAGGCGCAACTCGGCGCAACCGAATATAACCTTCAAGCCGCGCATCTGATCCGACCAGAGGCTCAGGCCCTTTTTTTCCTCGGCACCGTCGACCGTTTTCCCGGTGACACCCGTCCCAGTAGTCCTAGGCAGCTCGTAGTCGTCCTTGATCGGGCCGTTGAACCTCTCGAGAACCCGCCGGGCTTCCTTTCGCCGGCCCTGGGCTATCAACCAACGAGGGGACTCCGGCATCAACCTGTTTTGTTTTGGTTTGTTCGAACAATTGTCATTAGTAACTACGTTTTTTGTTTTTTATCATTTTCTTTTCTTTTAATATAGTACTTACCTATAAAAAGTAGGTATCGACTCTATAATAAATATCAACGCTGAAATCAGTCGCAAATAACATCGTTGATTATACGTTGATTCCACGCCAATGGATAATCTAATCAATGCTAATTTAGAGTTGAATCGACTTGACAACATTGAAGTCATAGACTTTGAAACAATTTGCTTTGATTGCAACTATACAATATGTCAACGTGAAGGAAAAAAAACAACATTATTTCTAAGTTAACTAAAATTATTGACTCGAATCAACGCCGATTCAATACCATTGATTTAGCAGAAATCAACGCAGAACGTAACGATGTCACTTGCCATTAATAATTTTGGTAAAGGAGGAACTGCGACGAAATTTACGTTAAAATTTAATATGCACATGTACTGTGATGTGACGTATATGTTATAATGATACACCGATCGCTATGTATAAAGAATAGTGCGAACCATTATTATTTTCACGCGACGAGAATCACGTGCGAGCTACCACATATATATTAGCGGACGGTTCTTTGGAAAGGATAAAAAGCAAGGGGCAACTATAAAGCATCACACGAGAAGATGCATATAGACAGTAACGGTCAGCGCCGAAAATCGCTCGAAGGCAACTTTGAAAAATAGGAAAAAAGTAATTCACAGACAGACAGAGAGAGATCAGAAAGCGTTTCGGAGAGGCGAAAAAAAAAAAAAAAAAAAAAAAAAAAAGTAAAAATTGTTTAACGAGTGACGTTGCGCGGCAGGGTATTGATGGAAGGGGGGGGGGAGGGGTCCGTGGCAATAACAATGGCAAAAGATAAGCGCCCCAGGGTCTCGCTCGCTCATTGTTCGGGAGGCTCCTTGCTTCTGGAGAATTATATTTTCTATTCCTCGTCAACTTTGGCACCTACCACGCGAACAAAAGGAGCACGAGGGCCGGCAGCGAGGTGGCGACTTGTATCTGTCTCCAGGTCCACGACAGGTAGGCTACCCCGGCCACGATAATCGGACCGCTAGCGAAGCCGCAATTGAAGGCCACGGCCATCCACTGCCTGTGCGTGTTGCCCGCCACTTCTGTCACTGTGGCATACGAAAAAGAAACAAAACAATTACTACCATTGCTCATGTATATCTAAAGGGCGCCGGCCACTATTTCTCTTTTTTTTTTTTTTTTTTTTCATAGCCCGGCGTGCAAAAATAAACACGCTCTCGTTCCGTCCATAATACTCTTTTGTGAGCCACCAGCTTCATTATCGGACACGAAAAGCAGCTCTCTCGGGGCACAACCCAGCAGTGATAACATATAATTAAAAAAACCAGAAGCTCTCGTCCCGGTGCACACCTTCCACAACAGTATACATATGTAGACGAGCCTGCACGCCACAATCCAATGTAATGTGTGTATGTGTGTAACCGATTTTTAAAGTAAAAGTATATAAAAACGCGGTGTCAACTTACGGGTGGTGAGCGAGGAAAATTGAATGGCCGAGAAGCTGACGCCGGTGAGGAGGCGCAGACAAACAAAGCCCCAGTACCAGGGCACGTAGGCGCTCGCGGGTCCAGCGACGATGAACATGAAGATGCCGAGGACGTAGATGGAGCGTCTGCCGTACTTGTCGGCGCTCACCCCCAAAAAACCGGCGCCCAACAGCTTACCCAGTGACAGGGCCATGTGCGTCGTCGCCCGCTTCGGCGCGTCCTTGCACACGAGGTCCCACTGCAACGGGACAACAATTTTACAGTGGATCATGCACATATACACCCAGAGGACGGCGATGAATCGCTTAATGAGTATAACTTGGAAATTTCATTTCGAGTGGTCACAATGGCCGGTGCCCGAGACCGCAGAACGAAAAGAGGAAGAAAAAAAATGGGAGGCACGCAATTATAGGGATCCGTTCACCCAAAAGAAGCTCGTCACGCCGCATTGTATACACGGTGCGATTATTCCATCACCACTTCTGATGTATGTGTATACAGCCAATAGGTGAATAAAAAATAAAAAATAAAAATACTCACCTCCTGGACCATGGAGGTACGATCGGTGTCGTCCGCGTAATTGTGCCCCGTGCAGTCGAGGGTCGTCGCGTCCTTGATGCGTTGGGCGACGTACCTCCGGGATTCCGCGAAACCGATTTCGGCCAGCAGCGAGTAGTTGTAGTCGTACTTGGCACACGCGCCGGCCGACGATACTTCGCGGATCTGCTCGGACGTCCAGTTTGCCGAGGTCAGCTCGGGCACCGCGCACCAGTGCGTTGGGTTCTGGTTGTCATGGACCAAGGGTTTTTGCGATCAGCGTTGGATACAGGAGAAATCGTTTTTTTTTTTTTTTTTTTTTTTTTTTTTTTTTTTTTTTTTTTTTTTTTTTTTTTTTTNNNTTCGAGTAAGAAATAAAAGTCCCTCTTTTTTGTTGTTGTTGTTTGTCACACTTTTTCGGTGTCAAGACGCACGTGACAGTTGTACGGTGACTATTGCAATAATTACACTACACACGAGTGTGTTTTTTTTATCTTATCGATACATCAGATTTTTTCCTGTTTTCCTTTTTTTTTTTGTTTGTACAAAGAAGCGCATTGAAATTACGTACTGATGACGCCAAAAATTGGAAAAAATGGAAAATGAGCGTCAATAAAGATAAAGATGATGATGATGTGCCTTATCTTCGACATGAAAAAAAAAAAAGGGGAAAATAAGACACCCGATCGAGAAAAAAAAAAAAAAAAAAAAAAAAAAAAAAGGCGCGCACCTAATCCATATTGTATACCTCGGCGATGAAAATGTAGGTGTTGGAGTGCATGCCGGCGAATATGGTCGGGAACATGGTGAAGAGGAATATGATCCAAACGAGGCTCGAGCCGTCGCCGAGCTCGTCGAGAACCCGCGTCAGAGGATCCACGTCCGTAGCCCTCGCCTCCACCTCCGACATCATGATCTCTTTTCCCTCTCGGATATCGGGACTATATATACGTATATTATATACACGATAAGCACGAATCAGTCACCTATATACACTCGCGCGCGTCTCCCTTGACAAGCGATGTACGCACACGCTGCATCCTCGCGACCTCTCACTCCGCGTATGTCACCGCGACTTTCTCCTCGGGCACCGGCTCTGAATACAAAAACTCTCGAGGTTTATACTTTCGATTTCACATGTTTCGTGTGTACGTACACGTACGCGCGCTTCCCGGTGTCGAATGAATTAGGTGAGCCGCGAATTATCCATAGGCACCAATACCCCCCCCCCCCGTGTCTTCGAGCGCAAAGTTGGACTGAAGCAACTCGCGTGTAGGTACAACGTATTGTTTTGTGCTTTCCCGGAGCTTTATCGCTTCTCTTGCGCTATATATACGTGCATGTGTATACATGTGCACGAGATGCGAGATAACACGCTGCAGACGCGGAATGTTTCAGGCTGTTCGAGCCGAAGAGACAGGTGTATAATATGCTTCTTTGTGCGTGTCTGCAAAATTGTCATTGTTGTTGTTTTTTTTTTTTTTTTTTTTTTCCTCAACAAGCAATTGCGTTCGTATATAGTTGCTACATATTTGTGCGTCAACTTGGACACGAATTTGTAAAAAATGTGTTTTGATTGTATTTGATGTCGCAGAGTGTATCGGACGATAACGTTGGGTCCGGGGGGCTCAGTCGAGCGTTGGCCTCCAAAGAACTCCCGATATCATTGACGCTTGCGTCTAGCCCGCAACTTCCATGTCGATGAGATAAGATAAATTTTGTACACACGTACGCGCACACCAACTCGATTGCACGTAGTTTTTGAGCCTTGGGACGTTTGCAGCTCTTCTGAAGTGCAAAGCTCGTACAGGGAAATATCGGTTAGAAAAAAGAAAATTACTCTTGACACCGATATTATATTATATATTTTTGCACAACCAATACAACACAAAGACAAACACCAATATTGTAACGATCTTTCGTTTTAATCGTCACTGGATAGTCGTTAAGGCGCCATCGGCACGTCGAGGACGAGATGGACAACGGCATGGGCGACGTGTCCAACAGCTCGACCGAACGGCCCCACTTTGCGCCCGATTTCTCCTACGATCGGCAGCGCTTCCGCAGCCTCCTTCGTCCTGTTAATCAACGAGTGCGTGTGTGTGTGTGTGTATGTACGTTGTACCATTGTCGCTGCGATTGTATGAAAGAGAGCGCGTAACACAATCGAGAGAAGAGGAAGAAGAAATTACCCCCGCGCGGGCAGGTGTTCCCGTTGATGATGGGCGAACGTGTACATGTAGCAGGCCGGATGCGCGCTCGTGGTTTCGACACTGTGGAATCTTCCGGTCTCCACCCGCAGGTAGCCGCCCTTGGCCATTGTCCGACCGGCGTCGTATCCTTCCTCCCCATTCATCCGCGCCGGCCGGTGGTGGTTTTTCGCCTCCTCCTCCTCCTCGCTGCGGTAAAGTACCTCGCCTTCGAGGACGTGCAGCGTGACGTTGTCGAGGTTCGCGCCCACGTAGTTCTCGAAAACCAGGCCCGGGTAGTCGGCCACGAAGAGGACGTCCGTGTGATTCGACCAGGACAGCACTTCCTGCTGGATGCGCTCGAGCTCGGGACTTTGAACAACATAAAAGAGAAAAGAAGAAAAGAAGATACTGAATGGGAAACGAGAGGGGGTGGGGGACGTTGGTTGCGTTGTTTACGGGAGAGTCGGGAGGGCTGTGCTCTAGGGGGGTTGCTGTTTGGAGAGTTGACCTCGTTTTGCTCTTCTTGTTTTTTTTTTTTTTTTTTTTTTTCCCCTTTTCGTGAATGGCATGCGCGAACAATGGAGTCGACGTTGCTAAATATACAGTCAGATAACGCGTGAGAAAATGCACCATTGGACACACTAGTTGATGGATAATCTGGTCAGGCTACGAAATACTTTTTGTTGTTTTCTATCGGTGGTACTGAAATAATTATACGTTTCCAGAGCTTTTGTCCATGAAAAATTTGATACAGGGTGACCCCAACTTGGTTATAACCCATACAAGCTCAAAGATACCATCAAAGATTATTATATAGTTTACAAGGTTGCTATCTCATGATCCAAAGTAGGAAGAGGCCCGGACTTGGATAAAAATTAAGAAGACAAGAATGCGATGCGCATTGGCTAGGAGCCGCACGCTTATAAAGTCATTAAAAAATCATTACTAAAAAATAAAATTCAAAGTCTTTGCAAAAGTTTTTGTCGAGAGTTAAAGAGCGCGCAGCCCGTAGATCGTACAAAACCTCAATCTCAGGATGGGTGGAAGAAGTTTAACGTAGGGCCGGATGATACCTTGATTGTTAAAAGGGCTGTACTTGACTTTTGAGGACAATTAGTTATGAATACAATCTTTGAAGACTCACCGATACGGACTAAACTGTTCGAGGAGGGGCATGAGGTACGAGACAGGTTTCAAGGGATGCCAGTCGGCCTTTAGCAAATCCACGTTCGGATCGAACAGCCTCTGCTGGAATCTGCCGTTCAATGAACACCAAACGTCCACGTAGATGCTTATGTCGGACGATACGTTCCTCCATGGTGCTGCCCCACTGCTCGAGCATCCCTTCAGTTTCTCTAAATTGTCCTGCATTAAGTGCAAATTTGTAAGATTTTTTTTTTTTTTTTCATATTCGTTCAAACATAAGTATACGCAAGAACGAAGTATGGGAGCAGTGGGTAGGTAAACGTTCAAAACAATCAAAATCTACCACTTTGAAGCATATTGGAAGGAAAGTGGAAACGCGGTGTTATGTATGGATGACGTGCAAAACAATGCATGTATTTTGAAAAAAGTCGAGGTATCATTTTCACCCCCCATCCCCCGTTCCCCTAAAGGACATCTGGAGTTTTAGGTATATGGGATACCTTGACGCAATGCGCGTACTGCCTGACCATGTCCCCGTGTTTGGCCCACCTGTCGTTGAGCACCCAGGCGTCCCCGTCCAAGAAGTGATCCCTGCCACTTTGGTTGTCCCGCACCCTGACCACCACCAGCACAGTGTCCCAGGCGTGGACCATCATGTCCCAGGAGTAGCCGTACGGGCCCGGCACCCAATTGTTGTAGCCCTGTATCTCGCCCATCGACACACATCGCATTGCAACCAAAACGTCTCCTTGAAAGTATACATGAAAAAAATAAAACCCAAGGAACCGACCTTTGTGAGGAAATGCGAGTAGGGCAGGAAAAACTGGGCGCCCATGTGAAACAAAAGCGCCGCAGCGACGAGCTTCTGTCCTCCGGAAACTCGGCTCGGCCTCTCGATCCGCGAGTCACGAGGACTGGTTGTACGAGTTGTTTCCCCCGTTTTGATCATGGATTTCTCCGAGTGTTGGTTTGCCTTTTGACGCGACCACGGGATTCCACGTAGGTACTTCCTCGGCCAGTCCGGATGGCAAAAGAGCGGCATTGTGGCCAGGCACACGAAGGGGAACATACCTGCGTGCGCGTGCGTTTTACTTTTTTTTTCTCTCGTCAAAGTTTCGTCATGATTATATGTATATATATTCGTGGTTCGGGTGTATTTATGTATATACGGGGTGAAACGCGGACAGAGAGGATAGTAGAAAGTAGAGGGCTGGTGCCTGGATGGGTAACATTCGTGCAAACGCGTAAGATCCGGCTTCCTTCGTTTTAATTATATCGGTGGAAAATTGTTTTCTAATTACTTCACTGCTGTTTTATGGATATTTCGCGTCATTTTTTAAATCAGTTTTATCAATTATGGATTCTTTTTTTTTTTTTTTTTTTTTTTTTTTTTTTTTTTCTTACCACAACTTGTATGGATGTGCGGCATGTAATTTGTGTAAACTAACGCGTGAACGAGTGTCTTGGTTTTTTATTTGATTTTAGAGATTTTTTACTCGAACCAATTGTAATTTGAAAGTTTTAATATTAATTTTATTGAAAATAATAAGAATTAACGTGAATGTGAAATTGGTGAGTTGTACAATAAAATAAACCATTAATATAAACGAAATTTATCAATCAATTGTAACTTACTTTCTTGTCTTACCAACAATACGGTGTACATTAAAGTTGTAATTAATGGACAAATAATCGCTATACATTTTTTTTTTTTTTTTTTTTTTTTTTCACAGTAAGATAACAGGTAACAACAGTGATACGGTGAATAAAATGGAAAAGTAATTGAAACAAAAAAAATTATATATAACATCCGAATGGACGTAATCATCAATTTACCTATGGAGAAGAGCTGCGAGTTCATGAGGTGAAACATGGTGCAGAAGAACATGGCAGGTAGGCGCGTCTCGTCGAAAAGCATGAAAAAGCCGACCGTCAGATCAAAGACGAATCCAAACCAGTGGACGATGAAAAAGTCCGTTTGACGCGTCGATAGTAGTAGCCTGTGATTGGGGATAAAAAAAAAAAAAAAAAAATTCAAATTTGTCACACAACCAACTTGTTTGAGCAAACAACATAGAATTCCTCACTTGAATGGCTCAAAGACCCAGTGTCTCGATAGGTCGACCATGGCGTAACCCTCGAGCCACTCTCTGCTCGACTTTTTCAGGCCCGCAAGGAAGTAAAGCACGAAAAATTGAAATTTCAGGATAAAGTAGTTCCAGTAGGGCACGCTCCTCTTTTCTTCCTCGCTCGCGTACAGTCTCGCGTCCAGTGCACTGTACCAACAATCATCGGCACACGTTGAAATTCGCGAATACCTATTACGATCTTCGAAGAGGAAAAAAAGTAGCATCTACAAGTGGATTCTTTTTTTTTTTTTTAATAAAATGACAACTAGATGAAGCATACAAGTAAATAAGACTAAGCAACTTTTTTTTTTTTTCATCTCAAATTGAATGTACTTGCAAAAGAGAGTAAATAAATGTGTACATTTGTCCACTGACTGTATGGATGCTATAATTTTTTTTCCGACGTAATCTGAGTAACGATTACAGGTATCTGTTGGCGCTCGTGCCCCAGAACAGGAGAGCGACGAGCCCGAAGAGGTACGAGTGGTTGTTCCAGTGGCTCTTGTCGAGCAGGTGTATGTACCAGTAGGGCAGAGCGAACAGGGCGCAAGATTTTTTGAAGTGGAGGCCCAGAGTCATGCCGAACGCTCCGAGCCACATAAGCGCGTATAGGACGGTCATCCAGGGCAGGGACGGTGGGCGCATGCCGTGGATCAACGGGAAGTGGCAAACATGAGGATCTCCCCATTTCAGGTCTATGTTGGCCAAACCGCGCTCCTCCACCACGTCGACGACCATACAGAGACCTGTTTACATTTTTTTTTTCTTTTTTTTTTTCAAACTAACTATTCACTCGAATGTGGGGGCATCTGTTTTTCGATCAAGCAAGTGGCGGCTTATCATTTATTTCAGTCGAAAAGCAAAACATCACCCAATGACACGACGTATTTTGCCAACAGCTGTTACATATATTATACAAAGACACGCGCGACTCGAAACTCGTTGAAGATTTACTTCCTGATTCACTGTACAGATTGGACGATCGCGTAGCCGGGATACTTTTGTTTTTTATATCTCAACGGGACTAACGATATAATATTTTTTATTTTTTGTGAAAAAAAAAAGGGTGGTAAAACTCACCAAACAGTGCTCGAGCGACCCCGAGACTAGCCGGGTCGACGGGCCGGTACATCGCCCTCGCAAATCCTTCGAAACTGCACAGATCTTCGCACGCAAAGCCGGTCAGGCGCTCGAACATATCTCGAATTTTCTCGATCGCCGCACCTTTTCCGATTTTTTTCGCCCCGCTGTATCCCTTTCCACCACTTCCCGCGCGACTTTTCACGACTTCACTTTTATCAGACGCACTTTCCATCGTTGCTGCTTAAAATATTTTTTTTATTTTATTTTTTTCACCCTTAAAACCCATACGAAAAAAAACAAAAACAAAAAAAAACAATGGCTTCGGTAGTCGAGAGGAGTCTCAAGAGATCAAATCCGCGAAAGCGAGCGGGTGGTACATCGAGAGCACGAGGGTACGGGGAAATAAAGCGACTCAATTGGACCTACCCCATTGCCTTGGCGATTGCAGAGACGAGGCGTCGCCGTCGCCAAGCAACGTTACCACCGCCGGCATCTCATTATTGACCCAAGGCTCGCGCGATTTCGCGCTCACGCGTAAATTATTATTATTAGTATTTTTTGGCTCGTCAACTTTTGAAACCAATTTGTCTCGCGTCGAAAAAAGTCAACTCACTCAAACGAGATCCTGGACGTGTTTGCTATACTCTTTTCTCTCTTCATTAGCGTCACCAAAAGTAGAGTCGGTGCGTGAGCGCGGCAGCCGAGAAAGTTGATCCATCTGTTTCCTTGGAATTTGAAGGGAAACCCGTTTTTTCTCTGATTCCGTGTGCACAGGCACCAAATAGGGATACAGTCGATTTTAACATGATGCACTTACAGCTTGTCGATCGAAATTGAAATGGAAAATCAGAGGTTCGTCGACACGTATATGTCGACACTATAGTTTACAAGTGATATAAAAGACCGATCCTGGCACAAACACGAGCGTTTTGTTATAATATTTGTGACTTTTTTTTTTTTTTTTTTTTTTCATGATAATAGCTTGTTACGAGTTATTCGAACCGAGTTCTCTGTCCGGTTGAAAAAATTTGCAGTTCCAATGTAGAGGTATAATCGTGACGTTTTTAAAATACGTCCTGAAAATCGTTGTTTTAACGTAATTTTGCTTCCAAAATATTCATATCGATTTTTGTGAAAACAAAGGTATGTCAATTGAACAAAAAATTTTGGAAATATATCTTGAGTTGTTCAGGGAAATCAATGTTTCAAAATGTTGAAACTATTCTAAAACTTGTACTCCAATCGCATTTCCTTCGAATTCTCGCAACCGTAGAAAATATTTAAAAAATTAATTCCACATGTACATGCCATATTATATGATGAAACGATTAAATTACACAACGTGCCGAGATAAATACTTTCTCGTCGTAATTTTAATTAAAAAAAAAAAAAAAAGCCAGCGCCTTGCGCATCAAACTGTTACGCCCCATAACCGTCAAGTCGGAGCAAGTGACCCCGATCCGCAAGCCCAGAGCTCCACTTACTTAAATATGTACACATCGATTTTGCCCGACGCGTCCCATACACCCGCGGTAAAACATCGCAGCCGACGCGTCTCCTCGATTTAAATTTCCGACGCCGATTGCCGACGATCCTCACGTCCGCACGCGAAAAGTTGATCATCGCTCCTGCACTCCTGTACCCATACACATACATATACGTGTATCTATCCCTCCCCCCTTTTCTCGGAAGCCTCCCCGGGGATGGCTCTGTCGGAGCTGACGACATTAATCCCAATCATTTCCGAAGCACTGCACCGGCTGGCGGTACGTGGGCGTCCCCGAAGGATCATCCAGCCAGCCCCGGGCGAGGGTAATTCATTTATCACCGCGCGCTTCCGAGCCTCGGTATTTATTCTGCACGGGGATGTTGAAAAAAAAACTAACGAATTTCGCCCCAAAGTTGTCGATTTTTACGACTATACGCGTGGATACCTCAAATCGAAAAGATACCCCTCCATGTTAATAGATTGGCTCTTTGTTTTCTAGGACGCGCGTTTTTTCGTGTTGGAGCACGTTATTTTTCACCGTCGATTAGAGTCATTAAACAGAAATACTTTTAATCGAGCATCTCTTTGAAACTAGATTAATTGGTTATACACATATATTAGTTTTTATTAGATGCGACAGACAGAGCTGTTTGTAAAATTTACTTGAGATTATGTACATTTTTTTTGATTAAAAAAAAAAAAAAGTGAAGTTTTCTTGATTCAGAAAATTGTGTTTATTTCTCCCCGTATTTTTGCTGAAAAATCAAAATAAAATAAGTAAAAAAAAAACTCACGTATCTACGTATATGTAATAAAGGATGCATCATATAAATCCAGTTTGCTCGATTACAAATAAGTATACCCCAAACGGCCGAATGTATATAGGGTTGTCACCCCGAAATCCCCAAGAGCCGCTCCCAACTAGTACAAGAGGCACCGATTCATTTTCAAATTTGCCCTGCTACAGACCATCGAGGACCACTCTCTTTTTCTCTATTTTCCCCCATTTCAAGTCCATCCCAGCTGTAATTATCATTTTGATGATCAATTTCCATTGTTCTCCATCGCGCAAAAGAGAGACAGAGATAAAGCAAGCAAACACCGATTCACATTCGGAATGAAGATGATTAATTAACATCGCGATCAATGTAAGATGACAGGCGGAGGAAAAAAAGCGAGCACGTATCGTATACACAATCGGCGCGTATGGATTCATGATGACGTTACGCTGATGAGAGGAGGCGAGCAAATACACGAGCTCGCGACTCTGAAGTTTATTGTAATGGTACGCCCATCAACCGTGTACTTACACAACGCCCGGTGGTGAACGTATAAAACACATTAGGACCGAAGGGGTAACCATACACAGAGGGTTTTAAAAAGGCACGCTACACCCATATATACGTACATGCAGATTACACGCGTCGTATAGAAAACGAGAGCGCACAGTCTTTCCCGTCTCTCGTTCGTATATATATATAATATTTGCTCTCGACGCTGTTTATACCTGCACAAGTATTTACACGCGCAAACTCTGCACCTGGAAGCTGTCCGATTTCTCCTTTTGGATCTCTATCTCTTTTTTTTTTAACACAGCTGAGAGTGGTTCCGGCGCTACTTCTACCGTTCCGTCTTTTAATCTGAGAAGACTGTTCAACGCCTCTTTCACACTTACTGAACTTTTTGAAATCAATAGTATCTTTACCCGATAAACCAGTCAGGTGTTGGCTTTCTTTCTAAAAAGAGAAAAGCCCTTAGAGGTCTAGACGTCACCGCAAAAAATTAACTTTCATTTTCAAAAATCGTATAAGTGGTTTTTCGGAATCCTAGGTACTCGTTCCATCGACAAAGTCTGAAAAAATCTTGTGAATTTTCGATGGAATTCGAACCCACGAATCCTTATGTATCTTTGGCTAGGAGGCTTGCTTGCTAACCACTAAGTTATCGAAGCTCTGACGGAAATGCTTACTATTTAAAAATAATAATGAATTAACAAATTCTAATAAGGCTTATCAATTTTTTTCTATTGTATTAATATGTTTTCTATTCATGTATTTGCCTCTGAGGCAATTTGAAAAAATAAATAAAGAAATTTTTTGAATCTTAAATTTATTAGGTTTTTTTAGTACTTGACGTACGTCGCTTATTGTATCATATATAATTAACATATATACGGGGTATACATTGGAAATAACAAATATAGCTAAGCGATTGTTA